TCACACGGCTGTCCCCTCACTGCCCTCCTCGGTGGTGGCCGCGCTGCGGCCCCGCCCGTCCCCGCCCACGCTGGTGACCTCATCACTGAGCACCCCCTTGAGCAACGCCCTCCACGAGCGCCTCACCTTGCCCAGGCCCCGCCCCATCACCAGGTAGATGATGGGATTGACGCAGCCGTTGACGTAGGCCAGCCCGGCCACGGCGGGGTCGGCGGCCTGGGCGCCGCGGAACGCGGCCGAGCCGGGCTCGCCGGCCGCCAGCACCAGCCCCACCACGTGGTAGGGCAGCCAGCACACGAAGAAGCTGACGATGACCACCAGCACCGTCCGGGTGGCCCTGCCCGAGCCGCCCAGGCCGCGCTGCCGGACGCGGCTCAAGAGGCGGCCGTAGCAGCCGGAGATGACCACGAAGGGCCCCAGGAAGCCGCAGAGGAAGCGCGCGACGGCCACGGCGAGCTCGGTGCCGCGCTGGTGGCGCCGCACGGCGCCGTAGGACAGCACGCAGGTGGCCTTGGCCGAGAAGGGGTCGAGGCGCACGGCACGGAACAGGAAGGAGGGCACGGTCAGCAGCGCGGCCGCCGCCCAGGCCCCGGCGCACGCCGCGGCGGCCAAGGCCGGCGTCCGGCGGTTGTGGCACCAGACCGGGTGAGTGACCAGGGCGCAGCGGTCGGCGCTGATGGCCGTGAGCAGCAGCACGCTGGCGAACATGGCCAGCACGGTCAGCGAGGGCAGCAGCTTGCAGGCGGCGGCGCCCAGCGGCCAGTGGTGGTCGGTGGTGAGCGGCAGCGCCAGGAAGGGCAGCGCCAGGCAGCTGAGCAGGTCGGCCAGCGCCAGGTGCGAGAACCAGACGCCGTTGACGGCGCGGCGCAGCTCGGACGCCGTCACCCAGAGCACGGCGCCGTTGCCCAGCACGCCCAGCACGAAGATGGCGGCGTAGAGGGCCAGAACCAGGCGGTGGCCCAGGGGCACCTCGGCCCCGCCCAGCTCGTCCAGGGCGTCGCCCCAGGTGTCGTTCCAGGCGTCGCCCCAGGTGTCGTTCCAGGCGTCGTTCCAGGGGTCGTCCCAAGGGTGCGCGGCCATGGTGGGGATGGGGGACCTGGTGGGTCAGGGTGGGTCAGGGGTGGTTGGGGTGGGTCAGGGTGGGTCAGGGTGGATCCAGGTGGGTCCAGGTGGGTCAGGGTGGTTGAGGTGGGTCAGGGTGGGTCAGGGGTGGGTCAGGGGTGGTTGAGGTGGGCCAGGGTGGGTCAGGGTGGGTCCAGGTGGGTCAGGGAGGGTCAGGGGTGGTTGAGGAGGGTCAGGGTGGGTCAGGAGTGGTTGAGGTGGGTCAGGGGTGGGTCCAGGTGGGTCAGGGGTGGCTCAGGGGTGGTTGGGGTGGGTTCAGGTGGGTCCAGGTGAGTCAGGGGTGGGTCAGGGATGGGTCAGGGTGGGTCAGGGGTGGGTCAAGGGTGGGTCAGGGGTGGGTCAGGATGGGGTCAGGGGTGGGTCAGGGTGGGTCAGGGGTGGGTCAGGGATGGGTCAGGGTGGGTCAGGGGTGGGTCAGGAGTGGTTGAGGTGGGTCAGGGTGGGTCAGGGAGGGTCAGGGGTGGTTGGGGTGGGTCAGGGTGGGTCAGGGGTGGGTCAGGGGTGGGTCAGGGTCAGTCAGGGTGAGTCAGGGGTGGGTCAGGGGTGGGTCAGGGGTGGTTGAGGTGGGTCAGGGTGGGTCAGGGGTGGTTGGGGTGGGTCAGGATGGGTCAGGGTGGGTCAGGGGTGGGTCAGGGGTGGTTGGGGTGGGTCAGGATGGGTCAGGGTGGGTCAGGGGTGGGTCAGGGATGGGTCAGGGAGGGTCAGGGGTGGTTGAGGTGGGTCAGGGATGGGTCAGGGTGGGTCAGGGGTGGGTCAGGGGTGGGTCAGGGTGGGTCAGGGGTGGTTGAGGTGGGTCAGGGATGGGTATGGGGTGGGTCCAGGTGGGTCAGGGTGTGTTCTTCACCCGTTCAGGTGATCCCAAAGACCCCAAGGTGTTGCTCCACCCGTTCAGGTGCTCCTGAAGACCCCAAGGGCTCCTTCACCTGCTCAGGTGGTCCAGGACCCTCCAAAAGACCCCAGCCCCACCCCACCAGGTGACCAAGGGGTTTTGGGGGGGTCTCCATTCCCATTTTTGGGTCCCCAGCCCCATTTTTGGATTCTCCACCCAATTTTGGGGTCTCCAGCTCCAATTTGTGGCATTCTCAGCCCAATTTTTGGGGTCTCTTTTCCATTTTTTAGAGAGTTCCCAGTTCCATTTTTGGGGTCTCCAGCCCCATTTTTTTGAGTCCTCCACCCATTTTTGGGGTCTCCATTCCCAATTTTGGGGTCTCCAGCTCAATTTTTGGGGTCTCCATTCCCAATTTTGGGGTCTCTATTCCATTTTTGGGGTCTCCATTCCCATTTTTGGGGTCTCTATTCCATTTTTGGGGTCTCCATTCCCATTTTTTGGGGTCCCCACCCTCCTGCGTCCCCCCCTCCCCCCCCCCGGATGTGGAATTTCCTCATCCTCCCCTCCCCCACCCCTCCCCATGGCGCAAGAATGGGGGAGAGGAACTGGGGGGGGGGAGGGGCAGCTCCACCCTTCCCCTCCCCCCCCGCGGGGCGGGGACCCCAAAAATGGGGCTGGGACCCCCAAAAATGGGGCGGGGACCCCCAAAAATGGGATTGGGAACTCTAAAAATGGAATAAAGACCCCAAAAATGGGGTGGGGACCCCAAAAATGGAACTGGAGAACCCAAAAATGGGGCTGGAGACCCCAAAATGGGATTGAGACCCCCAAAAATGGGGCTGGAGACCCCCCCCAAAATTGAATGGAGACACCAAAATTGGGCTGGAACCCCCAAAGTGGCGTCGAGACCCCAAAAATTGGGTAGGGAACCCAAAAATGGGGCTGGAGATCCCAAAAATGGGTGGAGAAGGCAAAATTGGGGTGGAGACCCCCAAAATTGGGGTGGAGCCCCCCAAAAATTGGGGTTGGGAACCAAAAAAACGGGGCTGGAAATGCCCAAAAATTGTGTTTGAACACCCCAAAAATGACCCTGGAGACCCCAAAAATGAGGTCGAGACCCCTCCAAACTGGTCTGGAGCCCCCCCCCAAACTGGTCTGAACTGGGAGGGGACCCCAAAACCCCCCCGGGAGAACAAAACCCCCCCCAAAAAACTCCCCCCGAAAATGGGGATAAAGAGCCCGAAAATGGGAACGAGGAGCCCAAAAAAGGCCAAAAACGAAGCGGAAACCCCAAAATTGGGGCCGAGAGCCCCCCAGAAATGGGGCGGGGACCCCCCAGAATTGGGGTGGAGGGGGAGGGGTCCCCAAACCCCCCCCGGGACCCCCCAAATTCCGCCCCCCCCCCCTCACCTGGAGCGGCGGCCGCGGTTTCAGAAGGGGAAATAAACGGGGGGGGGGGGCAGGAAACCCCAAAAATGGGGGGGGGGGAGGGGCCGGGGAGGGCGGGGAAACCCCAAAAATGTTGGGGGGAAGTTGGGGAAACCCCCACATCAAAAATTCGGGGTTTTTTTGGGGGAAAATGCCAAAATTCTGGGTTTTTATTGAGGAAAAAAAGCTCCAAAATTGGGATTTTATTTCGGAAGGAACCGCCCCGAAATTTGGGGGTTTTGGGGTGAAAATCTCGAGGGAAACCCCAAAAATTTTGGGGGGAAAGTTGGGGACACCCCCACATCAAAAATTTGGGGGTTCTGCGGGGGAAAAACCCCAAAATTTGGGGTTTTTTTTTCAGGGAAAAAAGCTGAATTTGGCTTTGAGGAACCGACCCCAAATTTGGGGTTTTTTGAATGAACCACCCCAAAATTTGGGTTTTTTTTTGAGGAACCGACCCCAAATTTGGGGTTTTTTTGGATGAACCACCCCAAAATTTGTTTTTTTTTTTTTTTGAGGAACCGCTCCCAAATTTGAGGTTTTTTGGGGTAAAAAGAGCTCGGGGGGGGGGGACCCCAAAATTACCGGGATCTCCCCAAAATTAAGGACGAAACCGGAGCAGTTTTGGGACTTTTATTGGAAAAAATTTGGGAGGGGGGGACCCCAAAATCCCCTCGGGGGGAAATTTGGGGACCCCCCCAGGTGAGATTTGGGGATTTTTGGGATCCCCCCCAGTCCTGGTCACACCTGGGGGGATTTTTGGGGTCCCCTCAGGTGAAATTTGGGATTTTTGGGCTCCCCCAGGTGAAATTTGGGATTTTTGGGGCCCCCCCAGGTGAGATTTGGGGTTTTTTGGGCCCACCCCCAGGTGAAATTCGGGATTTTTGGGCCCCCCCCAGGTGAAATTTGGGATTTTTGGGCTCCCCCAGGTGAGATTTGGAATTTTTTGGGGCCCCCCCAGGTGAGATTTGGATTTTTTGGGGCCCCCCCCAGGTGAGATTTGGGGTTTTTGGGGCCCCCCCAGGTGAGATTTGGGGTTTTTGGGGCCCCCCCAGGTGAGATTTGGGATTTTTTGGGCCCCCCCAGGTGAGATTTGGGGTTTTTGGGGCCCTCCCAGGTGAAATTTGGGGTTTTTGGGCCCCCCCCAGGTGAGATTTAGGATTTTTTGGGGCCCCCTCCAGGTGAAATTCGGGATTTTTTTGGGGCCCCCCCAGGTGAAATTTGGGATTTTTTGGGGCCCCCCCCCAGGTGAAATTTGGGATTTTTGGGGCCCCCTCCAGGTGAAATTTGGGATTTTTGGGGTCCCCCCCAGGTGAAATTTGGGAATTTTGGGGCCCCCCCCAGGTGAGATTTGGGGTTTTTGGGGCCCCCCCCAGGTGAAATTCGGAATTTTTGGGGCCCCCCCAGGTGAAATTTGGGAATTTTGGGGCCCCCTCCAGGTGAAATTCGGGATTTTTTGGGGGCCCCCCAGGTGAGATTTGGGGTTTTTGGGGCCCCCCCAGGTGAGATTTGGGATTTTTGGGGCCCCCCCAGGTGAGATTTGGGGTTTTTGGGGTCCCCCCCAGGTGAGATTTGGGGTTTTTGGGGCCCCCCCCAGGTGAAATTCGGAATTTTTGGGGCCCCCCCCAGGTGAAATTTGGGAATTTTGGGGGCCCCCCCAGGTGAGATTTGGGAATTTTGGGGCCCCCCCCAGGTGAGATTTGGGGTTTTTGGGGTCCCGGTCACACCTGGGGGGGCTCAGGTGGGATTTGGGGTCCCCCCCCCGTCACACCTGGGGGGGGTCGCCGGCTCCTCCTGTGGGGGGAGAGAGGGAAAGGGGCTGGAGACCCCCAAAAAATCCCAAAATCCCCCAAAAAATCCCCAAAATCCCCCCAAAATCCCCAATCCCCAAAACCCTCAGGTGAGTCTGGGACCCCCCAGGTGCCCCCTCAGGTGATTTTGGGGTCCCCCAGGTGATTTTGGGGTTGCCCAGGTGAATTTTTGGGACCCCCTCAGGTAAATTTTGGGGTCCCCCAGGTGACTTTGGGGTTCCCAGGTGAGTTTTTGGGACCCCTCAGATGATTTTGGGTCCCCCCAGGTGCCCCCTCAGGTGATTTTGGGGTGTCTCAGGTGAGTTTGGGGACCCTCAGGTGAGTTTTGGGGTCCCCCAGGTGATTTTGGGATCCCCCAGGTGCCCCCCAGGTGAGTCTGGGATGCCCCAAGTGAATTTTGAGGTCCCCCAGGTGCCCTCTCAGGTGAGTTTTGGGGTCCCCCCAGGTGAGTTTGGGACCTCCCAGGTGCCCCCCAGGTGATTTTGGGGTTCCCCAGGTGAGTTTTGGGGTCCCCCCAGGTGATTTTGGGGTTCCCCAGGTGATTTTGGAACCCCCCAAACCCCAGAACCACTCCCGGGGTCGCTCAGGGTGGAGTTTAATGCAGCAGCAGCAGAGCCAGGAACAGCCAGGGGTGCCCAGGTGAGCCCAGGTGTGCCCAGGGGTGCCCAGGTACAGCCAGGGGTGCCCAGGTGAGCTCAGGTGAGTGCCCAGGTGAGCCCAGGGGTGCCCAGGTGAGCCCAGGGGTGCCCAGGGGTGCCCAGGTACAGCCAGGGGTGCCCAGGTGAGCCCAGATGAGTCAGTGCAGCAACGACAGCCCCCAAAGATCCCCAGAGACGTCAAAAAAACCCCAAAAATTCCCCCAAATCCACCCCAGAGCAAAGCCAGAGCAGCCAGGTGAGTTCAGCTGTGCCAGGTGAGTGCCCAGGTGAGTTCAGGTGAGCTCAGGTGAGTCAGTCCAGCAGTGACAGCCCCAAAAGATCCCCCAGGAACCCCAAAAATCACCCCCAGAGCAAAGCCAGAGCACCCAGGTGAGCCCAGGTGAGTTCAGGTGAGTGCCCAGGTGAGTGCCCAGGGGTGCCCAGATGTGCCCAGGTGAGCCCAGGTGAGTCAGTGCAGCAGCTCCAGGCAGCGACAGCCCCCAAAGAAACCCCAAAAGTTCCTCAGAGACCCCAAAAATCCAGCCCTGAGTGAGGCAGCAGCGCCCAGGTGAGAGCCCAGGTGAGCCCAGGTGAGCCCAGGGGTGCCCAGGTGAGCTCAGGTGAGTTCAGGTGAGCCCAAATTGGGAACTGGGGGGTCCTGGGGGGCTCCCAGGGGGAATTTTGGGGTTTTTGTTTGGGGTCCCAGGGGTGGTTTTGGGGTGAATTTTGGGGTGAATTTTGGGATTTTTGGGGTGGATTTTGGGGATTTTGGGGTGAATGTTGGGGCGAATGTTGGGGATTTTGGGGGTGAATTTTGGGATTTTTTTGGGTAAATTTTGGGGTGAATGTTGGGGATTTTTGGGGTGAATTTTGGGGGTTTTTGGGGTGAATGTTGGGGATTTTCAGGGTGAACTTTGGGGTGAATTTTGAGGATTTTGGGGTGAATTTTGGGGTTAATTTTGGGGTGAATGTTGGGGATTTTTGGGGTGAATTTTGGGGTGAATGTTGGGGATTTTTTGGGGTGAATGTTGGGGATTTTCAGGGTGAATTTTGGGGTGAATGTTGGGGATTTTCAGGGTGAATTTTGGGGTGAATGTTGGGGATTTTTGGGGTGAATGTTGGGGTCAATTTTGGGGTGAATTTTGGGTGAATGTTGGGGTGAATTTTGGGGTGAATTTTGGGGGTTTTGGGCTCAGTGTGGGGGAGGGGAGCTCTTACGGAAACGAACCCTCTGGAAATCCGAGATCTCCACCCCCGGCCCTGCTGGGAACGGCACCGGTACAGACCAGTATAAACCAGTATAAACCAGTATGGACCAGTATAAACCAGTATAAACCAATATAAACCAGTATGGACCAGTATGGACCAGTATAAATCAGTATGGACCAGTACAGACCAGTATGGACCGGTTCACACCAATCCAGACCAGTCTAAACCAGTCCAGACCAGTCTAAACCAGTAACAACCCCCCCAGTGACCCCCCCCAGTGCCTCCCAGTACAAACCAGTACAGACCAGTAACCCCCAACCCCCTCCCAGTAACCCCCAATCCCCTCCCAGTTTATCCCCGTTCCCTCCCAGTATAAACCAGTTTCACCCAATCCCCTCCCAGTTCCCCCCCAGTCCCCCCCAGTCCCTCCCAGTTCAATCCCAGTCCCTCCCAGTCCCTCCCAGTTCCCCCCAGTCCCTCCCAGTCCCCCCAATCCCCCCCCAGTCCCTCCCAGTTCAATCCCAGTCCCCCCCAGTCCCTCCCAGTCCCCCCCAGTCCCTCCCAGTCCCTCCCAGTCCCCCCCAGTCCCCCCCAGTCCCTCCCAGTCCATCCCAGTCCCTCCCAGTCCCCCCCAGTCCCTCCCAGTCCCTCCCAGTTCCCCCCAGTCCCCCCCAGTCCCCCCCAGTCCCTCCCAGTCCCCCCCAGTCCCTCCCAGTCCCTCCCAGTTCCCCCCAGTCCCTCCCAGTCCCTCCCAGTTCAATCCCAGTCCCTCCCAGTCCCTCCCAGTCCCCCCCAGTCCCTCCCAGTCCCCCCCAGTTTCCCCAGTACCGTCGGGGGGGGTCCCGTTTCGCTCCGGGGTCTCCGGGCGGCTCCGGCAGGGGCTCGGGGGGGGGGAGGGGCGGCTCTGGGACCCCCCCCTGGGCTGGGGGAGGGGCGGGGGGGGGCGGGCCTGGGGGAGAGAAAGAGACTGGGATGGACTGGGATGGACTGGGATGGACTGGGATAAACTGGGATTGAACTGGGAGGGACTGGGATGGACTGGGAGGGGATTGGGATAAACTGGGATGGACTGGGATGGACTGGGATGGAACTGGGAGGGACTGGGAGGGACTGGGAGGGACTGGGATGGACTGGGATGGACTGGGAGGGACTGGGAGGGACTGGGATGGACTGGGATGGACTGGGATGGACTGGGATGGACTGGGAGGGACTGGGATTGAACTGGGATTGAACTGGGATGGACTGGGAGGGACTGGGATGGACTGGGAGGGACTGGGATGGACTGGGATGGACTGGGATGGACTGGGAGGGACTGGGATTGAACTGGGATGGACTGGGATGGACTGGGAGGGACTGGGATGGACTGGGATTGAACTGGGATGGACTGGGAGGGACTGGGAGGGACTGGGATGGACTGGGAGGGACTGGGATTGAACTGGGATGGACTGGGATGGACTGGGAGGGACTGGGAGGGTCACTGGTTTGAACTGGTTCAAACTGGGACGCACCGGGGGGGTCACTGGGGGTCTCTGGTTTGAACTGGGGGTCACTGGTTTGAACTGGGGGTCACTGGTTTGAACTGGTTAGAACTGGGGGGGTCACTGGGGGTTACTGGTTTGAACTGGTTCAAACTGGGACGCACCGGGGGGGTCACTGGGGGTCTCTGGTTTGAACTGGGGGTCACTGGTTTGAACTGGGGGTCACTGGTTTGAACTGGGGGTCACTGGGCGTTACTGGTTTGAACTGGGACGCACTGGGGGGGTCACTGGGGGTCTCTGGTTTTTACTGGGGGGGTCACTGGGATGAACTGGGCGTTACTGGCTTGAACTGGGGGTCACTGGTTTGAACTGGTTTGTACTGGTCTGAACTGGGACGCACCGGGGGGGTCACTGGGGGGGTCACTGGTTTGAACTGGTTCAAACTGGGACGCACCGGGGGGGTCACTGGGGGGGTCACTGGGGGTCTCAGGTTCGCGCTGGGCGGGGCCGGGCCCTTCCTCCTCCTCCTCCTCCTCCTCCTCCTCCTCGCTCACATCCTCCCATTGGTCCGAGTCCTCCTGGGAGCCCCCCGGGACCCCCCCCGGGGCCGCGGCGCCGCCTTCCGGAACCTTCTGGGGAACCTGATGGGGAAAGGGCATGGGGAGGGGGCTGAGAATCCCAAAAATTCCCAAAAATTCCTAAAAATTCCCAAATCCGAAATTCCCGGGGGTCCCAAATCCAAAAATTCCAAAATTCCCAAAATTCCCAAATCCCAAAATCCTGGGGGTCCCAAAATCCCAGGGGATCCCAAATCCGAAACTCCCAAAATCCTGGGGGGTCCCGAAATTCCAAATCCAAAGATTCCAAAATTCCCAAATCCCAAAATCCCTGGGGATCCCAAATCCAAAATTCCAAAATTCCCAAATACGAAAATTCCAAATCCCAAAATCCCAAATCCCAAATTCCAAAAATCGCAGGGGGTCCCGAAATCCCAATTCCTAAATCCAAAAATTCCAAACACCAGATTCCAAAATCCCAAATCCCAACTGCCAAAATCCCAAAATTTCAAGGGGATCCCAAAATCCAAAATCCCAAATTCCAAATCCCAAAATTTCAAGGGGATCCCAAATTCCAAAATCCCAAAATCCAACTGCCAAAATCCCTAAATTTCAAGGGGATCCCAAATCCAAAATCCCAAAATCCCAACCCCCAAAATTCTGAGTGGGAGAGGTCACAAAATCCCAAATTCTAAATCTAAAAATTCCAAATCTAAAAATTCCTGAATCCCAAAATTCTGGAAGATCCCAAAATCCCGGGAGTCCCAAAATCCCCAAATCCCAAAATTCCAGGGGACCCCAAATCCCAAAATTTCAAGGGGATCCCAAAATCCCAAATCCCAAATTCTGGAGATCCCAAAATCCCCAAATTCCAAAATTCCAGGGGACCCCAAATCCCAAAATTTCAAGGGGATCTCAAAATCCCAAATCCCAAATCCCCAAATCCCCGAGGATCCCCAAATCCCAAATCCCAAATTCTGGGGATCCCAAAATCCTCAAATCCCAAAATTTCAAGGGGATCCCAAAATCCCAAATCCCAAATCCTGGGGATCCCAAAATCCCCAAATCCCAAAATTTCAAGGGGATCCCAAATCCCAAAACCCCAAAATCCCAAATCCTGGGGATCCCAAAATCCCAGAATCCAAAACCCCAAATCCCAAAATTTCAAGGGGATCTGAAAATCCCAAATCCCAAAATTTCAAGGGGATCCCAAATCCCCAAATCCCAAAATCCCGAATTCTGGGGATCCCAAAATCCTCAAATCCCAAAATTTCAAGGGGATCCCAAAATCCCAAATCCCAAATGCCAAAATCCCCCAAAATCCCCGGGGATCCCCAAATTCTTGGGTCCCAAATCCCCGAATTTCGGGGTCACCTGGGCCCTCTCAGGCTCCGGGGGCGGCTCCGGGGGCGGCTCCCAGCGATCGTCGTGGAAACTGGGGAGGGAATTTGGGGAGAAATTGGGGAATTTTGGGAAAAAATGGGAAATTCCCCCCCAAAACAACTCCATGGAGAAATGGGGAATTCACCCCAATTCCCTCAAATCCCCAAAAAACCAAAATTGCCCCAAATCCCTCCAGGATCCTCCCCCCAAAATAATCCCTGAATGTCCCTAAAAACCAAAATTGCCCCAAATTCCTGAAAAGTCTAAATAGACACAGGAAATCAAAATCCTCCCAAATCCACAAAATTGCCCCCAAAAATCATCCCAAAATCCACAAAAATCCCCCAAAATCCCCCCAAAAATCCCCCAAATCTCCCCAAAGTACAAAATTCCCACAAAAATCCCCCCAAATTTCCTTAAAATCCCCCCAAAAAATCTACAAAATCCCCCCCAAAAAATCTACAAAAATTCCCTCCAAAAATCCTCCCAAAATCCCCACAAAAATCCCCCCACAAAAAACTCAAAATTCCACCCAAAATCCCCCCCAAAAAAATCAAAATTCCACCCCAAATCTCCACAAAAAATCAAAATCCCCCCCAAAGAACCAAAATCCCCCCAAATATCCACAAAAATTGCCCCGAAATCCAAAATATCTCCCAAAAAATCTCCCCAAAATCCACTAAAAAAACCCCAAAATCCCCCCCAAAATCCCCTAAAATCCCCAAAATCCACTAAAAAAACCCAAAAAACCCCCAAAATGCCCCAAAATGCCCCAAATCCCCCCCGCCCCTCCCCCTCACCTGTAGGGCCGCCCCTCCCCCCTGGGGCGGCCCCGCCTGCGCCGGGCGCGGTGGGGGAGGGGCAGGAACTCCCCCAGCGTGGGGGGGGGAGGGGCGGGGCCCAGGGGGGCCCCTCCCCCCTCCGGCTCCTCCGGGACCCCCGAGAACCTGGGGGGGGGGAAGGGCAAAGTGGGACCCCGAAATTCCCAAAATTCAACCCAAAAATCCCAAACTTCACCCCAAAAATCCCAAAATTCACCTCAAAATTCAGCCCAAAAATCCCCAACACTCACCCCAAAATTCCCAAAATTCACCCCAAAATTCACCCCAAACTTCACCCTGAAATTCACCCCGAAAATCCCAAAATTCACCCCGAAATTCAGCCCAAAATTCACCCCAAAAGTCCCAAAATTCACCCCAAAAATCACCTGGGAAATCCCAAACTCACCCCAAAATTCATCCCTGGAACCTCAAATTTATCCTAAAATTCAGTTGAGAAATCCCCAAATTCACCTGAAAAAACCCCAAATTTACCCGAAAACCCCAAAATTTATGCCTGGAACTCTGAAATTCACCTGTGACCCCTAAAATCCCATTTTTGATCGTAAAATCCAATTTTTTGTCTAAAAATCCCATTTTTTTCCTCCAAAAATCCCATTGTTTTGCCTAAAAATCCCATATTTTTTGGGTCTAAAAATCCCATTTTTTTAGTCCAAAATTCCCATTTTTTTGGGTCTAAAAATCTCTTTTTTTTTGCCTAAAAATCCCATTTTTTTCCTCCAAAAATCCCATTTTTTCCTCTAAAAATCCCTTTTTTTTCCCTCCAAAAATCCCATTTTTTTCCCCTAAAAATCCCATTTTTTTTCCTCTAAAATTCCTATTTTTCCCTCCAAAAATCCCATTTTTTTCCCCTAAAAACTCCCATATTTTTTTCCCCTAAAACTCCCATTTTTCCCCCCATAATTTCGGTTTTTCCCCCCATAATTTCGGTTTTTTCCCCCATAATTTCGGTTTTTTCCCCCATAATTTCGGTTTTTCCCCCCATAATTTCGGGTTTTTCCCCCGTTATTCCCACGCACAGGCCGCCGGGTTTCTGTGCTCCCACTCCCTCCTCCAGGCCCCTCTGTGCTCCCGGTGCCGCTGCAGCCGCTGGCGCTCGGTTCCCTCCCCGAACCCCGACCCGGGAGCCCAAATTCCCATTCCTTTAGTCCAAAATTCCACTTTTTGGGTCTAAAAATCCATTTTTTTTGGTCCAAAACTCCTGTATTTTTTTTCTTCCAAAAATCCCATTTCTTACTGTAAAAGTCCCATTTTTGTACTCTAAAACTCCCCTTTTTTGGGTCTAAAAATCCCATTTTTTTGGTCTAAAAATCCCATTTTTTGATGGAAAAATCCCATTTTTTTCCCCGCAAGATCCCATTTTTTCCTCTAAAAATCCCTTTTTTTTCCTCTAAAAATCCCATTTTTTTCTCCAAAACTCCTGTATTTTTTTTTCTTCCAAAAATCCCATTTCTCCCCCCACAAAATCCCATTTTTTCCTCTAAAAATCCCTTTTTTTTGGCCTAAAAATCCCATTTTTTAGTCCAAAATTCCCATTTTTTTGGGTCTAAAAATCTCTTTTTTTTGCCTAAAAATCCCATTTTTTTTCCTCTAAAAATCCCATATTTTTTCCTCCAAAAATCCCATTTTTTCCTCTAAAAATCCTATTTTTTTGCCTAAAAAATCCCATATTTTTTGGTCTAAAACTCCCATATTTTTTCCCCTAAAACTCCCATTTTTCCCCCCCATAATTTCGGTTTTTCCCCCCAAAATTTCGGTTTTTTTCCCCCAAACCCCTTCTTTTCCCCCGTTATTCCCACGCACAGGCCGCCGGGTTTCTGCGCGTCCCACTCCCTCCGCCAGGCGCCGCTGTTGTCGCGGTGCCGCTGCAGCCGCTCGCGGTCGATTCGCTCCCGCTCGCGCTTCCAGCGCTCGTGCTCCGCGCGCTGCCTCCCGGTCATCCAGAGCGTGGGGTCCAGGGGGGGAGAGCCCGGAGAGAAACGGGAGCGCCCGCCCCGCCGGGCCTGGGGGGAGAAACACAACCGAAAAAATCCCCGTAAACACTCACAGAAATTCCCCCAAAAATCCCGGTAAAACTCACAGAAATTCCCCCAAAAAATTCCCAAAAATAACCGAAAAAATCCCGGTAAAACTCACAGAAATTCCCCAAAAATCCCGGTAAAAACTCACAGAAATCCCCCAAAAATCCCGGTAAAACTCACAGAAATCCCCCAAAAAATTCCCTAAAATCCCAGTAAAAACTCACAGAAATTCCCCCAAAAAATTCCCAAAAATAACCGAAAAAATCCCGGTAAAACTCACAGAAATCCCCAAAAAATCCCGGTAAAAACTCACAGAAATTCCCCCCAAAAATAACTGAAAAAATCCCGGTAAACACTCACAGAAATTCCCCCAAAAAATCTGCAAAAATCACAGTAAAAACTCACAGAAATTCCCCCCAAAAATTCCCAAAAATAACCGAAAAAATCCCGGTAAAACTCACAGAAATTCCCCCAAAAAATTCCCAAAAATAACCGAAAAAATCCCGGTAAAACTCACAGAAATTCCCCCCAAAAACATCTGCAAAAATCCCGGTAAAAACTCACAGAAATTCCCCCCAAAAAATTCCCAAAAATAACCGAAAAAATCCCCGTAAAACTCACAGAAATTCCCCCAAAAACATCTGCAAAAATCCCGGTAAAAACTCACAGAAATTCCCCCAAAAAATTCCCAAAAATAACCGAAAAAATCCCGGTAAAACTCACAGAAATTCCCCCAAAAAATTCCCAAAAATAACCGAAAAAATCCCCGTAAAACTCACAGAAATTCCCCCAAAAACATCTGCAAAAATCCCGGTAAAAACTCACAGAAATTCCCCCAAAAAATTCCCAAAAATAACCGAAAAAATCCCGGTAAAACTCACAGAAATTCCCCCCAAAAATTCCCAAAAATAACCGAAAAAGTCCCGGTAAAACTCACAGAAATTCCCCAAAAATCCCGGTAAAACTCCCAGAAATTCCCCCAAAAAATGCCCAAAAATAACCGAAAAAATCCCGGTAAAACTCACAGAAATTCCCCAAAAACATCTGCAAAAATCCCGGTAAAACTCACAGAAATTCCCCAAAAAAATTCCCAAAAATAACCGAAAAAATCCCGGTAAAACTCACAGAAATCCCCCAAAAACATCTGCAAAAATCCCGGTAAAAACTCACAGAAATTCCCAAAAAAAAACCTGCAAACAACCCGGTAAAAACTCACAGAAATTCCCCCAAAAAATCCCATTAAAAACTCACAAAAATTCCCCAAAAATCTGCAAAAATCTCATTGAAAACTCACAGAAATTCCCCAAAAAAATCTGCAAAAATCCCGGTAAAAACTCACAGAAATTCCCAAAAAAAATCTGCAAAAATCACAGTAAAAACTCACAAAAAATAACCGAAAAAATCCCGGTAAAACTCACAGAAATTCCCCCAAAAAATTCCCAAAAATAACCGAAAAAATCCCGGTAAAACTCCCAGAAATCCCCCCCAAAAATCTGCAAAAATCACAGTAAAAACTCACAGAAATTCCCCAAAAAATCTGCAAAAATCCCGGTAAAAACTCACAAAAATTCCCCCAAAAAATTCCCAAAAATCCCGGTAAAACTCACAGAAATTCCCCAAAAAATCTGCAAAAATCCCGGTAAAAACTCACAGAAATTCCCCAAAAAAATCCCATTAAAAACTCACAAAAATTCCCCAAAAATCTGCAAAAATCTCATTGAAAACTCACAGAAATTTCCCCAAAAAACCCTGAAAAATCCCCGTAAAACTCACAGAAATTCCCCAAAAAAACCTGCAAAAAACCCGGTAAAACTCACAGAAATTCCCCCCAAAAATCACAGTAAAAACTCACAAAAATTCCCCAAAAATCTGCAAAAATCTCATTAAAAACTCACAGAAATTCCCGAAAAAATTCCCAACAATCCCGGTAAAAACTCACAGAAATTCCCCAAAAAAATCCCCCCAAAAATCCCCAAAAATCCCGGTAAAAACTCCCAGAAATTCCCCAAAAACATCTGCAAAAAAACCTGAAAAAATCCCATTAAAAACTCCCAAAAATTTCCCCAAAAATCTGCAAAAATCCCGGTAAAAACTCACAGAAATTCCCCCAAAAACTCCCTCAAAATATCCCCCAAAAATCCCTGAAAAAATCCCCCCAAAAACCCCAAAATATCCCCCAAAAATTCCCATAAGAATTTTTTTGAGGATTTTTTGGGGGGATTTTTGGAAGATTTTTTTGCAGTTTTTTGGGGAATTTTTTGGAGGTTGTTGGGGATTTTCGGGGGGATTTTTTTGCAAATTTTGGGGGATATTTTTGGGGATTTTTGGAGGATTTTTTGGGGATTTTTTTCGATTTTTCGGGGGGTTTTAGGGGATTTTTTGGAGGATTTTTTGGGGCATTTTTGGTTTTTTTTTTTTTTGCAATTTTTTGGGATTTTTGGGGGATATTTTTGGGATGTTTTGGGGCTATTTTTGGGAATACTTTTTGGGATTTTTTGGGGATTTTTTGGGATATTTTGGGGCTATATTTAGGAATACTTTTTGGGATTTTTTGGGGATTTTTTGGGATATTTTGGGGCTATTTTTAGGAATATTTTCGGGATTTTTTGGGATATTTTGGGGCTATTTTTAGGAATACTTTTCGGGATCTTTTGGGAATTTTTTGGGATATTTTGGGGCTATTTTTGGAATACTTTTCGGGATTTTTGGGGTTGTTTTTGGAGGATTTTTTGGGTTGTTTTTGGAGGATTTTTTGGGGATTTTTTGGGGGATTTTTGGAGGATTTTTTGGGGATTTTTTTGGGATTTTTGGAGGATTTTTTGGGGATTTTTGGGGTTGTTTTTGGGGTAAATTTCAGTATTTTTGGGGTACCCACCGTGGCCTTGCCGAAGTCGGGGCCCCCCCAGTTGCGTTGGTGGCGCCGGGGGCCCCCCCCAGGGCCCCCCCCCGGCTCGGGGCCGCAGCGCCGGGGATCGTCCAGAAAGTTCCGCACGGGGTTCCGGTCCTGCAGCCCCTCCTGCCGCAAACTGGGGTAAACTGGGGGGACTGGGGGGGACTGGGAGGGACTGGGGGGGACTGGGAGGGACTGGGATAACTGGGATAAACTGGGAGCCCCTCCTGCCGCAAACTGGGGTAAACTGGGGGGACTGGGGGGGACTGGGGGGGACTGGGGGGGACTGGGGGGGACTGGGGGGGACTGGGAGGGACTGGGATAAACTGGGGGGGACTGGGAGGGACTGGGGGGACTGGGAGGGACTGGGAGGGACTGGGAGGGACTGGGGGGGACTGGGATAAACTGGGAGCCCCTCCTGCCACAAACTGGGGTAAACTGGGGAACTGGGAGGGACTGGGAGCCCCTCCTGCCGCAAACTGGGGTAAACTGGGGGACTGGGGGAGACTGGGGGGGGACTGGGGGGGACTGGGAGGGACTGGGAGCCCCTCCTGCCACAAACTGGGGTAAACTGGGGGGAACTGGGGGGGACTGGGAGCCCCTCCTGCCGCAAACTGGGGTAAACTGGGGGAACTGGAGGGACTGGGGGGGACTGGGAGGGACTGGGGGGGACTGGGATAAACTGGGGGGGACTGGGAGGGACTGGGAGGGACTGGGGGGACTGGGAGGGACTGGGGGGGACTGGGGGGGACTGGGAGGGACTGGGAGGGACTGGGGGGGACTGGGAGGGACTGGGAGGGACTGGGGGGGACTGGGAGGGACTGGGGAGGGACTGGGAGGGACTGGGAGAGACTGGGATAAACTGAGAGCCCCTCCTGCCGGCAAACTGGGATAAACTGGGGGGACTGGGAGGGACTGGGGGGGACTGGGACAGACTGGGAGGGACTGGGGGGGACTGGGGGGGACTGGGAGGGACTGGGAGGGACTGGATAAACTGGGACGGACTGGGGGGGGACTGGGAGCCCCTCCTGCCGCAACACGGGGTCACTGGGGGGACTGGGAGGGACTGGGAGGCACTGGGAAGGGACTGGGGGGCATTTGGGGGGACTGGGGGGGACTGGGAGCCCGTCCTGCCAAACTGGGGTCACTGGGATAAACTGGGAGGGACTGGGAGGTCACTGAGGGAGACTGGGAGGGGACTGGGGGTTACTGGGAGTTAACTGGGAATTCCTGAGAATTCACTGGGTTGGATGGGTCTGTACTGGTCCGTACTGGTCCGTACTGGTCCCTACTGTCCATACTGGTCTGTACTGGTCTGTACTGGCTCCTATTGGTCTCTACTGGTCCGTACTGTCCCTACTGGTCTGTACTGGTCCCTACTGGTCTGTACTGGTTCCTATTGGTCCCCTACTGGTCTGTACTGGTCCCTACTGGTCTGTACTGGTTCCTATTGGTCCCTACTGGTCCCTACTGGTCCGTACTGGTCCCTACTGTCCATACTGGTCCCTACTGGTCCATACTGGTCCCTACTGTTCCGTACTGGTCCCTACTGTTCCCACTGGTCCGTACTGGTCCCTACGGGTCTGTACTGGTCCCTACTGTCCATACTGGTCCGTACTGGTCTGTACTGGCTCCTATTGGTCTCTACTGGTCCGTACTGGTCCGTACTGGTCCTACTGGTCCATACTGGTCCCTACTGGTCCATACTGGTCCGTACTGGTCCCTACTGGTCCATACTGGTCTCTACTGGTCCATACTGGTCCGTACTGGTCCCTACTGGTCCGTACTGGTCCCTACTGGTCCGTGTGGGCTCTCACCCTGCGGCTCCGCTCGTACTCCGCGATTTTCTCCATCTCCTCGTTCATCTGCTCAATGTTCTGCAGCCGCCGCTGCTCCCACTCCTGGAACGCACAAAAAACCCCAAATTCACCCAAAAACTCACTCAAAGTTCACCTAAAATTCACCCCAAAATTCACCCAAAACCACCCCAAAAATTCACTCAAAGTTCACCTAAAATTCACCCCAAAATCAGCCACAATTTAACGCAGAATTCACCCCAAATTCCACCCAAAAATCACTCCAAAATCCACCCAAAATTACCCAAATTCTACTCAGTTACCCCAAAATCCACCCCAAATTCCACCCAAAATTACCCCCAAATCACCCCAAAAATGATCCCAAATGTCCACAAAATTCCCCTAAAATTCACCCCAAAATCTCTCTAGAAATGAGCCTAAATCCCCCTAAAAATTCTCCAAATCCCTGAAAATCCCCCTAAAAATGACCCCAAAATCCATTCAAAATCCCCCAAAAAATTACCCTAATTCTACTCAAAGTTACCCCAAAATCCCCCTAAAAATGACCCAAACCCCCCCCCCAGAAATTCCCCCAAAATCCCCCCTTAAAATTCCCCCTAATAATGACCCAAAATGCCCCCAAAATCTCCCTAAAAATTCCCCCTAAAAATGACCCAAAAATCCCTCTAAAATCCCCCTAAAAATGACCCCAAATCCCCCCAAAATCCCCCTAAAACGTCCCCAAAATGTCCCAAAATCCCCCCCAATTCCCCCCCAGTTCTCACCTGGGATTTTCGGTCGCCGCCGTCGCCCCCGGCCCCTCCCCCCCCTCCCCCGGGCCCTGCGGGGCCGGGTCCCCCGCCCCTCCCCCCCCCCAACCCCCGGGCCCGGCCCCTCCCCCCCCCCCTCGGGGGGCGCCCCGAAATTCTGGGGGGGGGTCCCGGGGGGTCCCGGGGGTCCTGGGGGTCTCTGCTGCTGCTGCTGCTGCTGCTTGGGGCTGCGCTTGTCCTGGGGATGGCAAAAAACCCAAATCAGCCCCAAAAAAACCCAGATACACCCTTAAAAACCACCCAGAGACTCCCCAAAAAACCCCAAATAAACCCCCAAATAAACCACCCAGAGACCCCCCAAAAAAACCCCAAATAAACCAAAGCTTTCCCCCCAAAAACCCTCAAATTTCCCCCCAAAAACCCTCAAATTTTCCCCCCCAAAAACCCCAAATTTCCCCTCCAAAAAATTCCCAAATAAACCCCAAATCCCCCGAGACCCCGCCCAAAAAAACCCCAAAATCCCCCCCAAAAATCCCCCCCTTAAAAAACCCCAATTCTCCCCCCCCAAACCTCACAATTGCCCCCCCTAACGCCCCCTAAAAAACCCCAAATCCTTCCCAAACAACCCCAAAATCCCCCAAAAACCCCAAAATTCCCCAAAATTCCCCAAAATCCCCCAAATCCCCCCATTCTCACCCCGGGCGGTCCCTGGGGATCTCTGTCCCCCCCCCCCCGCCGGGGCCGGGGCGGTCACGGCCCCCCCCCTCACGCTCCGCCCGCCCGCCGATCCTCCTCGATCTCCTGAGGGGAAATTGGGGCAAATTGGGGCAAATTTGGGCAAATTCGGGGTTTTTGGGAAATTTGGGGGTTTATTAGGGGGTCTCAAGGGGACTTTGGGGTTTTTGTGGGGATTTGGGGTTTTTTTGGGAGAGGATTTGAGGTCACGGCCCTCCCCTCACGCTCCGCCCGCCGCCGATCCTCCTCGATCTCCTGAGGGGAAGATTCCGGCAAATTTGGGCAAATTCGGCAAATTCGGGTGTTTTTGGGAAATTTTGGGTTTTTTAGGGGGTCTCAAGGGGGATTTTGGGGTTTTTTGGGGACAGTCAGGGAGGATTTGGGGTTTTTTGGGAGGGGATTTGAGGTCACAGCGCCCCCCCCTCACGCTCCGCCCGCCGCCGATCCTCCTCGATCTCCTGAGGGGAAAATTGGGGCAAATTCGGGTTTTTTTTCGGGTTTTTGAAGTTTTTTTGGGAAATTTAGGGTTTTTTTGGGGAGTCTCAAGGGGGATTTGGGATTTTTTGAGGGGATTTAGGGGTTTTTTGAGGGGATTTGGGGTTTTTTGGGAAGGGATTTGAGGTCACAGCGCCCCCCCCCTCATGCTCCGCCCGCCGCCGATCCTCCTCGATTCCTGAGGGGAAGATTCCGGCAAATTTGGGCAAATTCGGCAAATTCGGGTGTTTTTGGGAAATTTTGGGTTTTTTAGGGGGTCTCAAGGGGAGTTTGGGGTTTTTTTGGGGACAGTCAGGGAGGATTTGGGGTTTTTTGGGAGGGGATTTGAGGTCACGGCGCCCCCCCCTCACGCTCCGCCCGCCGCCGATCCCTCCTCGATCTCCTGAGGGGAAATTGAGGAAAATTGGGCAAATTTGGGCAAATTCGGGGTTTTTGGGAAATTTGGGGTTTTTTGATGGGGTCTCAAGGGGGATTTTGGGGTTTTTTGAGGGGATTTGGGGTTTTTTTGGAGAGGATTTGAGGTCACGGCCCTCCCCTCACGCTCCGCCCGCCGCCGATCCTCCTCGATTTCCTGAGGGGAAGATTCCGGCAAATTTGGGCAAATTCGGGGTGTTTTTGGGAAATTTTGGGTTTTTTAGGGGGTCTCAAGGGGATTTTGGGGTTTTTTGGTGACAGTCAGGGAGGATTTGGGGTTTTTTGGGAGGGGATTTGAGGTCACGGCCCCCCCCCTCATGCTCCGCCCGCCGCCGATCCTCCTCGATCTCCTGAGGGGAAATTGGGGCAAATTCGGGGTTTTTTGGGGTTTTTGAGGTTTTTTGGGGAATTTAGGGTTTTTTTGGGGAGTCTCAAGGGGGATTTGGGATTTTTTGAGGGGATTTGGGGTTTTTTGAGGGGATTTGGGGTTTTTTGGGAAGGGATTTGAGGTCACAGAGCCCCCCTCATGCTCCGCCCGCCGCCGATCCTCCTCGATCTCCTGAGGGGAAAATTCCGGCAAATTCGGGCTTTTTGGGGTCAAATTCGGGGTTTTTGGGAAATCTGGGGTTTTCTTAAGGGGTCTCAAGGGGGATTTTGGGGTTTTTTGGGGTAGTCAGGGAGGATTTGGGGTTTTTTGGGAGCAGATTTGAGGTCACAGCCCCCCCTGAGGCCGATCCTCCTCCATCTCCTATGGGGCAAATCTAGGGCAAATTTGGGCAAATCTGGGGTTTTTGGGGTTTTGGAGAAGAAATTTGGGGTTTTTTTAGGGGGATCTCAAGGGGTTTTTTTTGGGGTTTATTTGGGTTTTTTTTAGGGGGATCTCAAGGGCGTTTTTTGGGGTTTATTGGGGTTTTTTGGGGAGGGATTTGGGGTCACAAGCCCCCCCCCCACGCTCCTCCCATCTCCTGCATTTGGGGTTTTTGGGTTTTTTTTGGGGAAATTCGGAGTTTTATGGGGTTTTTGGGGTGGATTTGGGGCGTTTCTGGGGGGATTTGAGGTAATTTTGGGTGATTTAAATGTGGGTGGGCTGTTTCGGGCAGATTTTGGGGTAATTTTGGGAGGATTTTTGGTGGAATTTGGGCGGTTCTGGGCTGATTTTGAAGCTGATTTTGGACTGAATTTTCGGGTAATTTTCAGTGATTTTGGAAAATACTGGGTGAATTCTGGAAGAATTTTAGGGTGATTTTAGGGTAATTTTAAGTGGATTTTGGGATAATTCTAGGTGGGATTTTGGGATAATTTTGGGGTGATTTTGGGATCATTTCAGGTGAATTTTGGGGCGATTTTCAGGGATTTTGGGGGTCTCAAGGACCAGAATCGTTCCCTTCCCCCCCCCAAAAGTGACCTCAGGTGACCCCGGTAATTCCCGCCCCTCCCCCACCCGGGATCAGCCGGGATTAGGGGGGGGAGGGCAGGATGGGGGAGGGGCAGAAGGGCCTGGGGATTTTGGGGGGTCCTGGGGGGAATTTTGGGGGGGTTCTGAGGGAATCTCAGGGGAAATTCTGGGGGGAATTTTGGGTTTTTTTGGGGGTGTCCTTGGGGGGATTTTTGGGGGTTTTGGAGAAGAATTCGGGGGGTCCTGAAGGGGGTCCCAGAGGGGTTTTTGTGAGATTTTTGGGGGGTCCCTGGGGGGATTTTGGGGGACCCTGAGTGATTTTTTTCAGGGATTTCTTGGGGGTCCTGAGGGGAATTTTGGGGGGGTCTTGAGAAGGATTTTTAAGGGGGGTCCTGGGGGATTTGAGGGGGGTCCCGGGAAGGTTTTTGGGGAATCTTGGGGGTTTTGGAAGGGATTTTTGGGGAAGATTTTGGGAGGATTTTTTGGGGAAGTTTTGGGAGGATTTGTGGGAAGTTTTGGGAGGATTTTTGGGGAAGATTTTGGGAGGATTTTCGGGGGAGTTTTGGGAGGATTTTTGGAGAAGGTTTTGGGAGGATTCTTGGGGACGTTTTGGGAGGATTTTTGGGGAAGATTTTGGGAGGATTTTTGGTATTTTTGGGGGGTCTCTGCCCCCTCCCTGACCTGGTAGCGCCGCACCAGGGCCTCGTTCTTCCTGCGCAGCGCCGCGATTCTCCGGTCCAGCTCCGCGTCCTTCTCCAGCGCCGCCGCCTGCGGGAGGGGAGGGCAGGGCAGGGGAGGGGAGGGGGCTTCGCTCAGTGGGAGCCCCCCTCCCACCCCACGAGAGATGGGAGAGAGAATCCCCAAAAAAATCCCCCCCAACCCCCAAAATAAAAGGAAAAAAACCCCCAAAAATAGCCTTTAAAACTCCACAGAAACCTCCCTAAGAAAAGCCAAAAAATTAAAAGAAAAACGAAACAATCTCCCAAAATAGCCCTAAAAAAATCCCGGAAAAAAAAGTTCCAAAAAAGACCCAAACAATAAAATAAAAAACCCCAAAAATACTCTTTAAAACTCCACAGAAACGTCCCCAAGAAAAGCCAAAAAAATTAAAAAAAAAAAACCCGCAGCAATCTCGCAAAATAGCCCTAAAAAATCCCACCCAAAAAATCCCAGAAAAAAAAGAAAAAAAGTTCCAAGAAAGACCCAAAAAATAAAATAAAAAACCCCAAAAATACTCTTTAAAACTCCACAGAAACGTCCCCAAGAAAAGCCAAAAAAACTTCAAAAAAAACCGAAATAATCTCGCAAAATAGCCCTAAAAAATCCCCTCCCCACCCAAAATTCCCTAAAACCCACCCAGACCAGGGAGGACCCACCCGAAAAATCCCCCCAAAAAATCCTAAAAACGCACAAAAAAAAATTTTAAAAAATCCTAAAAAAACCCAAACCCACCAGGTTTGGTGGAGACCCCCCCTCCCCAAAAAATCCTCAAAAATCATTAAAAAATCTTTAAAAAATTTTAAAAAATCCCCGCAAGAAACCCAAAGCTCTCATAAAACGCCGAGGACCAGGGAGACCCCTCCCCAAAACCCCCCAGAGCCCCGAGCCCCTCCCGGGACCCCCGGAACGACCCCCGGGACCCCCGAACGACCCCCGAGAGCTCCCCGGGACCTCCGGAACGACCCCCGGGACCCCCCCGCGCCCCCCGCCCAAGCCCAGGACCCCCGGCCCGGCCCTCCCGGGACCCCCCAGCCCTGAAGCGGCGCCCCCGGGCCCCCCCGAGCCCCCCAGACCCTCCCGGGACCCCCCGGGACCCCCGGACCCACCATGGCGGCCCCGGGAGCGGAGCCGGTCCCGCCCACGTGTGCGGCGCCACTTCCGCTTCCGGTATGGGGAGGGCGGGGCTTAAAGGGGCGATGGCGAACAGGTGGGGACCACGGCGGGAGGCTTAAAAGGGCAACGGGGAGAGCTTGGGGGACCCCGGGCGGGGCCAGCGCGGGGTGGTGGCGCCTCTGTCACCCCCTGGAGGTGGCACCTGGGGTCCCCTTGTCCCTTTTGTCATCTCCTGGCCACCCCCAGCAGCGTCACCTTCTGTTGGTGGCACTTTTGTCATCCCCGATGGTGGCACTGTGGGTTGGTGGCGTCTCTGTCATCCCCTGGAGGTGGCACCTGGTGTCCCTTGTCACTTTTATCACTCCCAGGCGATGTCACCTCGTGTTGGTGGCACTTTTGTCACCCCCGGGCGGTGCCACCCCATGTGTCCCCTCATGTCCCCCTGTGTTCCTTTGTCACTTCCTGTCCTCTCCCTGTGTCGTGTCCATCCGTGTCCTCCTGTCCCCCCCACCCGTGTCACTGTCCCCACGTGTCCCCTCAGTGTCCCTACCCCACTCCAGCCCTGCGCCTCGATGTCCCCGTGTCCCCTCACTCCTCACTGGGGGTGTCCCCTTCTCTTCTCCCATGTCCCTCTGTCCCCCCATGTCCGTCTGTCCGCTCAGTGTCGCCCCTAATGTCCCTCTGTCCTTTTTTGTCCCCCCCAATGTCCCCTGTACCCCCAAGCCCCCCTGTCCCCTCTCTGTCCCTCACTCTGTCCGTCTGTCCCTCTGTCCCCGCCGCGTCCCCCGGCCCATCCTCATTCCGCCCCCCTTCCCCTTTTATGGGCGTGGCTCCGCATGGCCCCTCCCACTCTGGGCGTGCCCACGGGGCAGGCGATGGGCGTGACCGTTCTGGCCCCGCCCCCCGGCTGTCTCCATGGCAGCTGCGGCTCTGGCCGCGGCCGCCGCCGCTGATTGGCTGAGCCGGGGCGCGCGCGGCGCCGGGGGCGGGGCCAGGCGGGGCTGGGGGGAAACTGGGGGGAAACTGGGGGAAACTGGGAATAACTGGGGGGAAACTGGGGGGAAACTGGGAATAACTGGGGGGAAACTGGGAATAACTGGGGGGAAACTGGGAATAACTGGCGGGGATCGATAGGGGAAACTGGAGGGGAAACTGGGAATAACTGGGGGGAAACTGGAGGGGAAACTGGGAATAACTGGGGGGAAACTGGGGAGATCTATGGGAAGAACTGGGGGGAAACTGGGAATAACTGGGGGAAACTGGGAATAACTGGGGGGGGATCGATAGGGGAAACTAGAGGGGAAACTGGGAATAACTGTGGGGGAACTGGGGAGATCTATGGGAAGAACTGGGGGGAAACTGGGAATAACTGGGGGGAATCTGTGGGGGGAACTGGGAGGGAACACGTACCTATGGCACAGTCACACGTGCACCTTTACCTGTGCTCACACCTGGACATGTGCCTGTAGGTGACCCTGGACCTGGACCTGTATTGACACCTGTACACGTACAGATACATACACCTGTACCTGTGCCTATATTGACACCTGTATGTGTACAGACACCTGTACCTGTAGTGACACCTGTACACGTACAGATACATACACCTGTACCTGTGCTTATATTGACACCTGTACATGCACAGACACCTGTACCTGTACCTGTATTGACACGTGTACACGTACAGACACGTACACCTGTACCTGTGTTTATATTGACACCTGTACATGCACAGACACCTGGACCTGTACCTGTAGTGACACGTGTACACGTACAGATACATACACCTGTACCTGTGCTTATATTGACACCTGTATGTGTACGTACACCTGTACCTGTACCTATATTGACACCTGCATTGGGCACCTGTGGGTGCTGCGCACACCTGGCACCTCACCTGTACCTGTCCCCATACCTGTCCCCACACTGAGTGCAGGCCACACCTGTGTCTGTAGCTGTCACCTCACCTGTACCTGTCCCAGAGCTGTCCCTGTCCCGTCAGCTGTTACTGTCCCCCTACCTGTCCTTCTCACTTGTCCCTGTCCCCTCACCTGTGTCACCTGTCCCATTCTCTGTCCCCTCTCCCATCTCTCTGCCTTGTCCCTCTCACCTGTCCTGTCCCTGTCCCCTCTCTCCCCTTTCCCCGTCCCGTCCCCTCTCTGTGCCCTCCCTTGTCCCCTCTCTCACTTGTCCCTGTCCCCCCTGTCCCCTCCCCTGTCCCCGTCCTCTCTCTCCCCTGTCCCCTCCCCTGTCCCCTCTCCCCTCACCTGTCCCCTCTCTCACCTGTCCCCTCTGTCCCCTCACCTGTCCCCTCTGTCCCTTCTCTCCCCTGTCCCCTCTGTCCCCTGTCCCCTCTCTCACCTGTCCTCTCTGTCCCCTCTCTCACCTGTCCCCTCTCTCACCTGTCCCCGCCCCCCCCCTTTTTCCCGCGCTCTCTCTCCCGCGCTCCGCTGGAGACAGCAACCGCCGCGCGCTCTGATTGGCTGCTCCCGCGCCGCCCTCAGCCAATCACGGCTCAGCGCGGCAGCGCGCGGTCCGGGGGGGCGTGGCCGCTGCCCAAGGGGAGGGGGGAGGCGGGGGGGGGGCAGGGGGAGCCCCGCTCGGTCAGAGGTCAAAGGTCACGGGGTGCCCCCCCCCCCCCCCCATCCCAGGGCGGATTTTGGGGCTGTTTTTGGGGGGTCCCGGGGGTGCCGGGGGTCGCGGGCGGGGTCTGGCGGCGTTGGCGGCGCTGGTTGGCCCCTTCCCGCTGTTACCGGGGCGGCGGCGGCCGCAGCTTCGCCTGGAAACCGGGGGGGGGGCGGCGGCTGAGTGGCTGCGGCGACCCCGGGACCGCCCCGGGACCCCCCCCACCCCCAAAATGGGGAGGGGGAGAGGAGGGAGGGGGTGGGGGTGGGAAAACCCCCAAAGTGGGGGCGGGGAGGGACCCCCGAGCTTTGGGGATGGGGGGGGGGGCCCACGTGGGGCATTGCTGGAATTGGGGGGGGGGGCGTTGTTTTGGGGTGGGGGTCGCACTTTTGGGGGGGCAGGGGTCGTTATTTTGGGGTGGGGGTGTTCATTTTGGGGGTTTCGCACTTTTGGGGTGTGCCCGAATTTGAGGGGGGGTCGCGATTTAGACCGGTGGGAATTTGGAATTTTTTTTTGGGGGGGGGGAGTCGCGATTTCAAGAGTTTGGCCGAATTTGGGGGTGGGGTCTCACTTTATTTTTGGGGGGGTCCCATTTGGCGCAAAGCCCCCAAATTTTCGGGTGGGGGTTCGCGCTTTGATTTTTTGGGGTGAAACCTCCCGATTTTCCCAAACCGAGGGAAAGAATTTCACCCAATTTGGGGAGGGGGATCCCCCTTAAAAAACCCCCCCAAAATCCCCCCCCACCCCTCACCCCCCCCACCCCCCCCCAACTCGGCACAAGCCCGAACTTGTCCGGGGCGGGGCGGGGCGGTGACGTCACGGGCGGGCGGTGACGTCACGCGTGGGCGTGGCCGAGGCTCGAGCCGGTGCCGGCGGTGCCGAACGCGCCCGTCCCGAGCGGTTCATGCGGCTGCCGTGAGTGGGGAGGGGTCCCGGGGGGGGCCGGGGGGGGCCCGGGGTCACCGAGAGCCGGGGGAGACGCCCCGGGATGGGGGAGGGGCGGGGGTCGCTGCGGGGGGGACAGGGGGGGACACGCGGGGGTGGCACTCGGGGGGGGGACACCTGGAAGGAGCAGGGGGGGAGAGGAAAAGGTGGGGAGGGGTCGGAAAATGGAGGGGGGGGGGGTCAGGAATTGAGGAGGGGTCGCGGGAAATTGGGGGGGGGGTCGGTAAATTGAGGGGGGGTCCCTAAGGTTGGGAGGGAAGGGACCCAGGCGGGACAGGGAGGGGACAGCGGCGACAGCCACGAGGGGACGGGGGGGGGTCCCCAAAATTTGTGGGGGGTGCCCAGAATTGAGGAGGGGTCGCACAAATTGAGGTGCACAAATAGGGGGGGGTGCCCAAAAATTGGCATGGAGGGTCCCCTAAATTGAGGGGGGGGTCTTTAATTGAGGGGGGGTCCTTAAATTGAGAGAGGTCCCCAAATTGAAGGGGGGGGTCCTCAATTAAGGAGGTGCCCCAAGTGAAGGGGGGGTGCACAAAATTGGGGGGGGGTCCCCCCCAAATTTGGGGAGGGGGACAAGGAGGGGACACAACGTGAGGGGGGGGGGACCCCCGAGGATGGGGGGGTGGGGACCCCAAAATGAGGAGGGGACAGGTGGGGGGGGGGGGGGGGTGACAGCGACAGCGCCACCGCACATGGCCGGGGTGGGGGGGGGGGGCTCGGAGCCTCCCGGGGGGGTTTGGGGGGGGCTGAACCCCTCGGGGGGGGTCCGGGCTGAGCCCCCCCCGGCCCGGGCGGGGTCGGGGACCCGGGGGAGCCTCGGGGGTCGCGGGGGGGGGGACACGCGGGGGTCGCTCCCGGTTGTTTACAAACAGCGCCCGCTCGCGCGGCGCCCCCTGGCGGGCGATCGGAGCAGTGCAGGGTCTGTTTTTGGGGGGGGGGCGCGGTTTGGGGGACCCCCCCCACACCCCCCTCACCCACCTCAATGAGAGCCCAGGCTCAAAGTGGGGGTGTCCCCTCCTCCCCACAGAGCCCCCCGGGAGCGATGGCCAGACCGCTGCGGAAGGGACCCTCGGGGAGCCCCCAGCCCCACTCCCATCGCACCCCCGCCTGCGGGGGGGGCGGCGGGGGTGGGACCCCCCCCACGCACGAGACCCCCCCCAGCAGAGCAGGGGGAGGGGCCGGAGACCCCCGGGGACCCCTCCCCAACGCGCCTGAGCTGCGGAGGGCGCGGGGGACACCCCCGGGACCCCCCCGGAGCTTGGGGTCCTTGGGTGGGGGGGCGCACGGTGAGTGCTGGGGGGGGGGTCCCGATTGATGGGGGGGGTCTCAGTTTATTGGGGGGGTCCTGACTGATGGGGGGGGTCTCAGTTTATTGGGGGGGGTCCCTAATTTATGGGGAGTCTCCAATTCCTGTGGGAGGGGTCCCTATTTCTGGGGGGGGTCCCCAATCCCATTGGGGGTCTCAATTTATGGGAGGGGTCTCAATTTATGGGAGGGGTCCCCAATTCCCATGGTGGGGGTCCCAATTTATGGGGGGGTCCCCAATCCCAACAAGGGCCCCAATTTCTGAGTGGGGTCCTCCTAATTCATGGGGGGGGGTCCCCAATTCTTGTGGGAGGGCTCCCTAATTCATGGGGGGGGTCCCCAATTTATGAGGGTGGGGGGTCCCCAATTTTTGGGGGGCATCCCATTTTCTGAGGGTGGGGGTCCCCAATCCCGTCGTGGGTCCCAATTTTTTGGGGCGTGGTCCCAGTTTTTGGGGGGGGTCCCCAATTCCTGGCTGGGGTCTCCCTCACTTTTGGGGGCTCCCATTCCTTTCCAAACTCCCTGCCCATATTTTTGGGGAGGGGGCGTGGCTCACCCTGACCCCCCCCTTTATAATTTTTAGGGAGGGGGCGTGGCTCACCCTGACCCCTTCCCCTTTATAATTTTGGGGAGGGGGCGTGGCTCACCCTGACCCCTCCCCTTTATAATTTTAGGGAGGGGGCGTGGCTCACCCTGACCCCTCCCCTTTATAATTTTTTGGGGAGGGGGCGTGGCTCACCCTGACCCCTCCCCTTTCCCCTCCCCCCCAGGTGATTTCGGCCCCTCGGAGCCCCTCGGGCCCCCCCAAACTGGGGGCATTGGGGGGGGGGCGGTCCCCAATGGGCACCTGCCCGGAGCCGCCCCCCCCGGGGCCCCCCCCCAGCCCCGAGCAGATTTTGGGGGCGCGTTTGAGGCTCCTGGGGGGACAATTTCCAGCACAGCTACGAGAGACAGGTGAGGGGGCACCCCAAAAACGGGGGACCCGAAAAATGGGGGGGGGACAGAAAAATGTGGGTGGAAAGTGAGAAATTTTGAGGGGGGGGAAACTCAAAAAATTGTAAAATTGTCCCTATTGGGGTTATAGCAAAATTTGGGGGTGCATCCCAAAATATTTGGGGAGAAACGGTAAAAATTTAGGGGGGGACACACAAATATTTGTGAGAAATTCAAAGGGGGAACCCAAAAATTTCACCCTATTGGGATTATCTCAAAATTTGGGGGGTGTGTCCCAAAAGTTTGGGGGGGGAAATGAAAAAATTTTAGGGGGGAAACCCAAAAAAATTGTCCCTATTGGGGTTACCCCAAAATTTGGGGGGTGTTCCCCAAAAATTTGGGGGGGGAAACGGCAAAAATTTGAGTGGGAAATTAAAAATTTTAGGGGGGGAAACCCAAAAAAATCGTCCCTATTGGGGTAACCCCAAAAAATTTGGGGGGTGTGTCCCAAAAGTTTGAAGGGGGAGCAAAAATTTGGGGGAGAAACCCCAAAAAATTTGGGGGAGGAGATCATAAAAATTTAGGTGGGAATGGAAAAATTTGGGTGAGAAATGAAAAATTTGGAAGGGGAACCCGAAAAATGCTCCCTGTTGGGATTATCCCAAAATTTGGGGGGTGCACCCCAAAAAGTTTAGGGGAGACACCCCAAAAGTTGGGTGGGAATTGAAAAATTTCGGGGGACACCCCCAAAAGTTTGGGCCAAAATGTGGAATTTTGGGGGCTTTCCAGCCCATTCCTGGTGTCACTTCTGGTGATTTTTGGCTTTTTTTTGGGGTTGGGGGCTCCCAAAATTGACAGAAAACCCCAAAATTTCGTGGCAACCACCCAAAATTCCGGGGGGGCGCCCCAAAATTAACCGGGCCACGCCCCCATGATGACTTTTTGGGGACAATCCCCCCAAATTTTGGGTTTTTCCCCCAATTCCTCCGAGTTCTCCTCCTCAGGGCTGGGGTTTGGGGGAACGCCCCAAAATTGGAGGGAGACGCCCTAAAATTCAGTGGGGACGCCCAAAATTGGGGGGGACGCGCCCCCTGAGGCAACTTTTGGGGGCAAAAAGCCCAAAATTCAGGTTTTTTCCCCCATTTTAGCTCCACCAATTCCAACTCCTGCTGCCAGGGCTGGAATTTGAGGAGAAACCCCAAAAATTTAAGGAAAACACCCCAAAAATTTAGGAAAGAGCCCCAAAATTTAATAAATAGCCCCAAAGGTTTAATAAACACCCCCAAAATTTTAATAAACACACCCAAAATTGGGCTGAACACTCATTTTTTCGGGTGTGACACCCCCAAAATTCAATTTTTTTCCCCATCCCAGCCCCACCATTCCAACTCCCGCTGGAATTTGGGGAGTGGGAGAGGCTGGAATTTGAGGGGAAACCCCAACAATTTAAGACGAACACCCCAAAAATTTAGGGAAGAGCCCCAACAATTTAATAAACACCCCCAAAACTTTAATAAACACCCCCAAAATCGGGCCGAACGCTCATTTTTTTGGTTGTGACACCCCCCAAAATTCAGTTTTTTCCCCATCCCAGCCGCACCATTCCAACTCCCGCTGCCAGGGCCGGGTTCTGTGGGGCGGGGCGGGCGGGCGGCGCTAATTGGCGGCGCTAATTGGCGGCGTTAATTACCGGCATTAACGAGGATTCGCCCGCAGCGCCGCGGCCGGGGCCCGTTCTGGGCGCCGCTGCTCCGCTGGGTGGCGCCGTGGGTCGGGGCCGCGCCCGCAGCGCCCCTGGCGGCCAGAGGGGGGAACTGACCCCGGAAACGGCGGAGAACAGCGGGAAAACAGCTGGAAAACACCCGGAAAACAGCTGGAAAATACCTGGAAAACACCTGGAAATACCTGGAAAATATCTGGGAATACCTGGAGAACACCTGGAGAAAGGCGCGGGACGCTCACAGGAGGGAATCGCCCTCAGAGGGAGCACAAAGCACAAAACCCCCCCCGGATCGGAGTTGGTAGCGCCCAACCCCCCTCGGGTTTTATTTATTTGGGGTAATTTATTCATGGGGGAGGGGGGGGGTCCCCAAAATTGGGCTGAGACCCCCAAAAATGTGGCAGGAAGGGGGGACCCCCCCCAAAAACAAAGGGTTGTAAATGGTGTAAATTAGGGGGGTGTACATTGAAATTTTGGGGTGTAAATTTAAAATTTTTGGGTGTAAATTTAAATTTTTGGGTGTAAATTTAAATTTTTTGGGGTGTAAATTTAAAATTTTTGGGTGTAAATTTAAATTTTTGGGGTGTACATTGAAATTTTGGGTGTAAATTTAAATTTTGGGGTGTACATTGAAATTTTGGGTGTAAATTTAAATTTTTTTGGGGTGTAAATTTGAATTTTTTGGGGTGTAAATTAAATTTTTTGAGGTTTTTTTCAGGGGTGAAATAATGGGGGGACCCCCCCTCAAAATGGTGCTGGGGGGGGTCAGGACCTCCCCCAAATTATTTTTTTTTAGGGGGGGGAGAACCCCAAAAAAACCCCAAAACTCCCCAAAAAAACCCCAAAAAAGGGCTGTAAATGCTGTATATGGGCTGTAAATGGGGCAATTTTGGGGTTTTTTTGGGTTTTTTTTGGGGGGGATTTTGGGGACCCCTTCCGGATGGTGCTGAGGGGGTGAACCCCAAAAAAACCCCAAAATCCCCCCAAAAAACCCCAAAACCGGGGCTGTACATGCTGTATATGGGCTGTACATTGTATATAGGATTATTGTACATTTTTGGGGGTTTCTGTACAATTTTTTGGGGGTTTCTGTACAATTTTTTGGGGGTTTCTGTACAATTTTTTGGGGTTTCTGTACAATTTTTGGGGTTTCTGTACATTTTTGGGTGGTTTGTACATTTTGGGGGTTTCTGTACATTTTGGGGGTTTCTGTACATTTTTTTGGGGTCTGTACAGGAATTTTTGGGGTGGGGGGGTTCCCATTTTTTGTACTTTTGTTTGCAATAAATCGATTTACCACAGAAGGATTTGGGGCGTTTATGGGGGGGTTTATGGGATTTTGGGATTTATGGGATTTTGGGGGATTTTTGGGGCTCTATGGGATTTTGGGGGAAATTTGGGATTTTTGGGGTTTGGAGGCTTTATAGGATTTTGGGGGGGTTTTGGGGATTTATGGGATTTTAGGGTTCCTACAGAATTTTGGGGAGATTTCCCTGGATTCCAGACTCCCCAAATTTTGGGGTTCACCCATTTTTGGGGTCCTCCCCCCTCCCAAAAATCCCGACCCCAAATTCAGCCACGATTTATGGGAAATCCTTTATTGGCCCTGCCCTAAAACCTGGGGGGGGCAGCACCCCCAAACCCCCTCCCCAAATTTGGGGTACCCCTGGGGGGGTTCAGGGCACCCCAAATCCCCTCCCAAAGAAGCCCAGGACCCCCAAACCCCCTCCCCAAATTTTGGGGTGCTCCTGGGGGGGGTTCAGGACCCCCAAATCCCCTCCAAAGGGATCAGGACCCCACAAACCCCCCAGAATTTGGGGTGCCCACGGGGACCCCTCCCCAAATTTGGGGATCCCTCATTGGGGGAGTCCCAAGCACCCCAAACCCCCTCCCAAGGGCTTCAGGACCCCTCCCCGAATTGGGGGTTCCTCATTTCGGGGGGGGTCCCAGGCGGCTCCAAAGCCCCGCTGGGATTTGGGGTTCAGGATTTGGGGTTCAGGATTTGGGGTCCCTCATTTCGGGGGTTCCCCCTCATTTTGGGGTCCCTCATTTTGGGGTTCCTCATTTTGGGGGGGTCCCAGGTGGCTCCAAAGCCCCCCCAGGATTTGGGGTTCAGGATTTGGGGTTCAGGATTTGGGGTCCCCGATTTTGGGGTCCCTCATTTCGGGGGGGGTCCCAGGCGGCTCCAAAGCCCCCCCAGGGTTTGGGGTTCAGGGTTTGGGGTTCAGGGTTTGGGGTTCAGGGCCCCTCCCCGATTTTAGGGTCCCTCATTTCGGGGGGGGTCCCCAGGCAGCTCCAAAGGCCCCCCAGGATTTGGGGTTCAGGATTTGGGGTCCCCGATTTTAGGGTCCCTCATTTCGGGGGGGGTCCCAGGCGCTCCAAAGCCCCCCAGGATTTGGGTTCAGGATTTGGGGTTCAGGATTTGGGGTCCCTCATTTTGGGGTCCCTGATTTTGGGGTTCCCCCTCATTTCGGGGGGGGTCCCAGGCGCTCCACCAGGCCCTGGCCCCGGACGCCGTCGAAGAAGAAGAAATTATTGTGGGGGGGTCCCTGTGGGACAGAGGCCTGGGGAGGGGGGACACAGATGGGGGTCATGGGGGGATCTGGGGAACCCCAAAATGCCCAAAACCCCCCCCAAAATCCCCCAAACCCCCCCAAAATCTCCCAGAACCCTGAAATCCCTCCCAGATGCCCCAAAATCCCCCCCAGGGCCCCCCCAAATCCCCCCAAAATTCTCCCCAGGTCCCCCAAAATCTCCCCCAGAGCCCCAAAATCCCTCCCAGACCCCCCTCCAGAGCTCCCAAATCTCCCCCAAACCCTCCAAAATCCCCCCAAATCCCTAAAATCCCCCCAGACCCCCCAAAATGCCCCCTAAACCCCTCAAATTCCCTCCATGACCCCCCAAAAATCCCTCCCAGACCCCCCAAAATCCCCCCAGACCCTCCTAAATCCCCCCCCAAATTCCCCCCAAAATCCTCCCAGATCCCCCCCAAATCCCTCCCAGATGTCCCCAAAATCCCCCCCAGAGCCCCAAAATCCCCCCCAAATTCTCCCCAGATCCCCCCAAATCTCCCCCAGGCCCTCCCAAATCCCCCTCAGACCCCCCAAACTATCCCCCAAATCCCCTCCCAGAGCCCCCAAAATCCCCTCAGACCCCCCCAAAATCCCCCCAGAGCCCCAAAATCCCTCCCAGACACCCCAAAATCCCCCCCAAATCCCCCTCAAATCGCCCCCACACACCCTCCCAAATCACCCTCAGACCCCCCCAAATCCCCCCTAGACCCCCCAAAATCCCCCTCCAGACCCCCAAATCCCCCCTGGCCGTACCTTGACCACCTCCTGGCCCAGCACCCCCCCCAGCACGGCGCACACCGGGGCCATCTCCGAGAAACAGGAACTGAAACGGGGGAAAAAAGGGGAAAACTGAACGGGAAAATGCCCCAAAAACTGAGGGTTTGACCCCAAAAAAGGCCATTAAAGCCTGGCAGGTGTCCCCTCACCTGTGGCAGTGTCCCCTCCCTGGGAGGTGTCACCTCCCCTGTCCCCTCCTGTGTCCAGGTGTCCCAGGTGTCCCCCTCCCATGTCCCCTCACCTGTGGAACTGTCCTTGTCCCAGGTGTCCCCATGTGTCCCATGTGTCCCCAGGTGTCCCCATGTGTTCCCTCAGCTGTGGAACTGTCCCTGTCCCAGGTGTCCCCATGTGTCCCATGTGTCCCAGGTGTCCAGGTGTCCCCCCAGGTGTGTCCCCATGTCCCCAGGTGTCCCCCCAGGTGTCCCCTCACCTGTGGAACTGTCCCCCATGTGTCCCATGTGTCCCAGGTGTCCCCCCAGGTGTGTCTCCATGTCCCCAGGTGTCCCCATGCCCAGGTGTCCCCTCACCTGTGGAACTGTCCCCATGTCCCCAGGTGTCCCCCCAGGTGTCCCCCAGGTGTCCCCATGTGTCCCATGTGTCCCAGGTGTCCCCAGGTGTCCCCAGGTGTCCCCTCACCTGTGGAACTGTCCCCATGTCCCCAGGTGTCCCATGTCCCCTCACCTGTGGAACTGTCCCCATGTGTCCCCAGGTGTCCCCATCCCCAGGTGTCCCCCCATGTGTCCCCAGGTGTCCCCCCAGGTGTCCCCTCACCTGTGGAACTGCTCTGGCAGCAGCTGTGGCTCCACCCCCAGCGCCTCCAGCACCTCCCGGCGCAGGCGCAGGAGCAGCGCAGAGTCCTGGGGGACACTCAGGGGACACGGTCACGGGCCAGCCTCAGAACGGAACCTGAGCAACACTGGGGACAAACAGGGACATTGTCACCCTGGGGACACTGAGGGGACACGGGTCACGGCCAGCCTGGGACCTGAACTGCAACAGAACTGACACGGGGACATCATTGTCACCTGGGGGACACTGAGGGGACACGGGTCACGGCCAGCCTGGGACCTGAACTGCAATAGAACTGACACAGGGACATTGTCATTGTCACCATGGGGGACACTGAGGGGACACGGGTCACGGCCAGCTTCTGTCCTGAACTGCAATAGAACTGACACAGGGACATTGTCATTGTCACCATGGGGGACACTGAGGGGACACGGGTCACGGCCAGCTTCTGTCCTGAACTGCAATAGAACTGAAATGGGGACATTGTCATTGTCACTGTCACCTGGGGGACACTGAGGGGACACGGGTCACGGCCAGCCTGGGACCTGAACTGCAATAGAACTGACATGGGGACATTGTCATTGTCACCATGGGACACTGAGGGGACACGGGTCACGGCCAGCCTCTGTCCTGAACTGCAACAGAACTGACACAGGGACATCATTGTCATTGTCATTGTCATTGTCACCTGGGGGACACTGAGGGGACACGGGTCACGGCAGCCTCTGTCCTGAACTGCAATAAAACTGACATGGGGACATCATTGTCACTGTCATTGTCACCATGGGACACTGAGGGGACACGGGTCACGGCCAGCCTCTGTCCTGAACTGCAATAAAACTGACACAGGGACATTGTCATTGTCACCATGGGACACTGAGGGGACATGGGTCACGGCCAGCTTCTGTCCTAAACTGCAATAAAACTGAAATGGGGACATTGTCATTGTCACTGTCACCATGGGACACTCAGGGGACACGGGTCACGGCCAGCCTCTGTCCTAAACTGCAATAGAACTGAAATGGGGACATTGTCATTGTCACCTGGGGGACACTCAGGGACACGGGTCACGGCCAGCCTCTGTCCTGAACTGCAATAAAACTGAAATAGGGACATCATTTTCCCAGAAATGGGATATTTTTGCCCCAAAATTGAGATTTTTTTCCCCAAAATTGAGATTTTTTTCCCCCCAAAATTGAGATTTTTTTCGCCCAAACTGCAACGTTTTCCCCAAAAAATCAGATTTTTTTCCCCCCAAAATGAGATTTTTTTTCCCCAGAAATGACTTTTTTTCCCCCAAAAATGGGACGCTTTCCCAGAAATTTGATCTTTTTTCCCCCAAAATTGATCTTTTCCCCCAAAAATAAGATTTTTCCCCCATTAACGAGACTTTTTTCCCCAAAAACCGCAACGTTCTTCCCCAAAAAATCAGATTTTTTTCCCCCCAAAATGAGATTTTTTTCCCCAAAAAATCAGATTTTTTCCCCCAAAATGGGATTTTTTCCCCCCAAAAAATAAGATTTTTCCCCCATTAACGAGACTTTTTTCCCCAAAAACCGCAACGTTCTTCCCCAAAAAATCAGATTTTTTTCCCCCCAAAATGAGATTTTTTTCCCCCCAAAATCAGATTTTTTTTCCCCAAAATCAGGTTTTTTTTTCCCCCCAAAATCAGATTTTTTTTCCCCCAAATGGGATTTTCCCCCCAGAATTGACATTTTCTGCCCGGGCACGGCTCCTGTTCCCAATCCCGGCCGTTTTTTGCCCCAAACTCACCGTGCAGCAGGAAATAATCGGGGGCCGTTCTGCGCAGCGCCACCTCCTGGCCCGGGCCGGCCCCGCCAGGGCCTCGCGCAGGCGGCAGAACTGCAGCTGCTGCAGTTTGGGGGGAATAAACGGGATTTTGGGCAAAAATAACGGGATTTTGGGGAAAATAATGGGGATTGGGAGAAATAATGGGGATTGGGGAAAAAATAATGGAAGTTTGGGCAAAAATAATGGGAGTTTGGGGCAAAATAATGGGGATTGGGCCCCGCCAGGGCCTCGCGCAGGCGGCAGAACTGCAGCTGCTGTTTGGGGGGAATAATGGGGATTTTGGGCAAAAATAATGGGAGTTTGGGAAAATAATGGGGATTGGGAGAAATAATGGGGTTTGGGGAAATAATGGGAGTTTGGGGGAAATGATGGGTTTGGGGCAAAATAATGGGCATTGAGGCCCTGCCAGGGCCTTGCGCAGGCGGCAGAACTGCAGCTGCTGCAGTTTGGGGGGAATAAACGGGGTTTTGGGGAAAAATAATGGGAGTTTGGGGAAAATAATGGGGATTGGGAGAAATAATGGGGTTTGGGGAAAATAATGGGGTTTGGGCAAAAATAATGGGGTTTGGGGGAAAATAATGGGAGTTTGGGGGAAATAATGGGAGTTTGGGCAAAAATAATGGGGATTGGGGCCCCGCCAGGGCCTCACGCAGGCAGCAGAACTGCAGCTGCTGCAGTTTGGGGGAATAAACAGGGTTTTGGGCAAAAATAACGGGGTTTGGGGCAAAATGGGGGTTTGGGGGGGAAAAACAATGGGGTTTGGGGGTCCATTTTGGGGATTTTGGGGTCCATCCCAGGGATTTTATGCTTTAGGATCCATCCCCGCTGACCTTTTTGACCATGGTGGTCTCCGCTGCCTCCAGCCGCGCCCGCTTGGGGTTTGGTTTTGGGGCCTATCCAAGGTTTTATCCCAGGGATTTTTGGGCCCATTTAGGGATTTTGGGGTCCATTTTGGGGATTTTGGGGCCCATTTCAGGGATTTTGGGCTTTAGGATCCACCCCCACTGACCTTTTTTGACCATGGTGGTCTCTGCTGCCTCCAGCCGCGCCCGCTTGGGGTTTGGTTTTGGGGCCTATCCAAGGTTTTATCCCAGGATTTTGGGGTCCATTTCCAGGATTTTGGGGCCCATCTCAGGGTTTAGGCTTTAGGACCCATCCCCACTGACCTTTTTGACCATGGTGGTCTCCGCTGCCTCCAGCCAGGCCCGTTTGGGGTTTGGTTTTGAGGCTATCCCAGGGTTTTGGGGTCTATTTTATCCCAGATTTTATCCCAGGATTTTGGGTCCATCCCAGGATTTTGGGGTCCATTTTAGGGATTTTAGGGTCCATTTTAGGGATTTTGGGGTCCATTTCAGGATTTTGGGGTCCATCCCAGGGATTTTGTGCTTTAGGACCCACCCCCACTGACCTTTTTGACCATGGTGGTCTCTGCTGCCTCCAGCCGCGCCCGCTTGGCCTCGGGTCCGTCCTCCAGCCCCGCGCTCGCCTTGGCCACCTTGGGCTTCTCCCTGGGGATGCAAACGCCCCCAGATTGCAGCAGGAGCCCCCCAAAATCCCCGGGTTTGGGTTCCTGCCCTGCACTCACTCCACGAACTCGTGCTGGCCCAGGTCGGCGAACATGAAGCCGTGGTAGCCGAAGACGTCGCCGGTGAAGAATTTGATGCCGTTCTTGTGGCAGATCTGGTTGATCCTCACCATGGATATTCCTTGGAGCAGCAGGTCAGGCACACCTGGGGGAATTTGGGGATCTCAGCCCCCGGGTTTGGGGGGTTCTGGAGGGGAAAGGGGGAATGGGGCAGGGGGAGGTGAGGGATGGGGCTGGGGGGTTGTGCCTTGGGGTGGAAGGGAAGTGGGGCCCAAATGGGGGGGTTCTGCCTCAAAATGGAACAATTCTACCTCAAAATGGGACAATTCTACCCCAAAATGGAACAATTCTACCCCAAAATGGGACAATTTTACCCCAAAATGGGGGGGGTTCTACCCCAAAATGGGGGGGTTCTACCTCAAAATGGAACAATTCTATCCCAAAATGGGGGGGTTCTACCCCAAAATGGGGAGATTCTATCCCAAAATAGGACAATCCCACCCCAAAATGGGAGGATTCTACCTCAAAATGGAACAATCCCACCCCAAAATGGGGGGGTTCTACCTCAAAATGGGGGGGTTCTATCCCAAAATGGAACCATTCTACCCCAAAATGGGGAGGTTCTACCCAAAATGGGGGGATTCTACCTCAAAATGAGGTGATTCCACCCCAAAAATGGGATTAAACCCACCCTCAAAATGGGACAATCCCCCCCAAACCCGTGACAATCCCATCCAAACCCCCAAACCTAGGAATATCCCCCCCAAACCTGTGACAATCCCCCCCAAACCCGTGACCCTTCCCCCCAGCCCCATTTGGGGTCCCCATGCTCCATTTGGGGTCCCCCCCAGCCCCATTTGGGGTCCCTGTGCCCCATTTTGGGGTCCCCCCGTGCCCCATTTGGGCTCCCCCTGCCCCATTTGGGCTCCCCCAGCCCCATTTTGGGGTCCCTGTGCCCCCCGTACCGCGTCGAACTGTGTGAAGAACTCGTGGCCTTTGCTCTCCACGCTCTCGGGGTCAGCCCTGACCTCCACCATGGGGTTCAGGCTCTGCGCCCGCGCCAGCGAGGCCTCGGCCCGGTTCCGACCCAGGGAACCCGCGGGGATCAGGAACTGGGCCCGGCTGTCCTGGGGGGACACCTGGGGACATTGGGGACACTGGGATCAGGAACTGGGCCCGGCTGTCCTGGGGGGACACCTGGGGACATTGGGGACACTGGGATCAGGAACTGGGCCCGGCTGGCCTGGGGGACACCTGGGGACAGGGGGGACATTGGGGACATGGGGACACAGCTCTGGGACACCTGGGGACATGGGGACATTGGGGACACTGGGATCAGGAACTGGGCCCGACTGTCCTGGGGGGACACCTGGGGACAGTGGGGACAGAGCTCTGGGACACCTGGGGACATTGGGGACATTGGGGACATGGGGACACAGCTCTGGGACACCTGGGGACATTGGGGACATAGCTCCAGGGGGATGGGGCACAGGAATTGCCACATTTTGGGGTGATGTGAGGGGAAAAGCCCAAAGATGGAGAGGATGAAAATTCCCAGATTTTGGGCATGTTCCTGAGAGATGGAAGGGATTAAATTCCATATTTTGGGGGTGCTCCTGAGGAATGGGAGGGATGAAAAATTCCCAGATTTTGGGGTGTTCCTGAGGAATGGAAAGGATGAAAATTCCCATATTTTGGGGATGTTCCTGAGGGACGGAAGGGATGAAATTCCCAGATTTTTTGGGATGTTCCTGAGGGATGGAAGGGATGAAATGCCACATTTTGGGGATGTTCCTGACGGACGGAAGGGATGAAACAACACATTTTGGGGATGCTCCTGAGGGATGGAAGGTATGAAATTCCCAGATTTTGGGGATGTTCCTGAGGGATGGGAGGGATGAAATTCCCAGATTTTGGGGATGTTCCTGAGGGACGGAAGGGATGAAAATGCCCAGATTTTGGGGATGTTCCTGAGGGATGGAAGGGATGAAATTCCCAGATTTTGGGGCTCCTGCAGGTGTTGCAGGTGTGTGCCCCCCTCACCTGTTGGTGGTCCAGCAGGGTGACCCCCCTGACCCCGGCCAGGATGAGATTTTTGGCCACCTCAGCCCCCAGCCCGCGCAGCCCCACCAGCAGCACCCGCGACGCCCGTAACCTGTGGGGGATTCCAGGAAAACCAGGAATTATCCTGGGAATGAATCCTAAAGAATGGGAATGGGGGACCCCAGAACCCGACAGAGTGACCCTTAAACCCCATAGAGACCCCCCAAGACTAAATAAGGACCCCCCAGACCCCTACAGAGCCACCCCAAATCCCCATGGAGACCCCAAAACCCCAACAGAGCCACCCCTGACCCCTATGGCCCTATGGGGGACCCCCAGACCCCAATAGAGCCACTCTTAAACCTTATGGGGATCCCCAAGACTGAACAGGGACCCCCCAGACCCCTATAGAGCCACCCCAAACCCCTATGGGGACCCCAAAACCCCAACAGAGCCATCCCAAACCTCTATGGGGACCTCCAGACCCCTACAGAGCCACCCCTGACCCCCATAGGGACCCCTCAGACCCTAACAGAGCCACCCCTAACCCCTATAGGGACCCCCCAGACCCCTACAGGGACTCCCAGACCCCAATAGGGACCCCCAAGAGCCCCTACAGAGCCCCCTTAAAGCTCCCCCAGGGCTCTTACCCCCCCATAGGGCCCCCAAAGCCCATAAAATGACCCCACACACACACACAACCCCTCCAGCCCCACCGACCTTTTCTGGGCCTCGAGCCCCCAGAGCCGGATCTGGCGGTCGTACTGAGCCGCCTCCTCCTCGCTGATGCCGCCGGGGCTGGACTCGTCCTTCTCCACCATCGCGGCGGCCCCCGAGACCACCCTCAGGATCCCACAAATCCCCTCACGGCCCCTAAAAAGCCCCTCTGAGCTTTCAAATCTCTCTGGACACCTCAGAGCTCCTCACGGGCCATCAAAGCCCCTCAAAGCCCCTCACGGCCCCTCACGAAACCCGCGGCGCCCCCTGACGGCCCGCGCAAACCCCCGCGCCCGCCGCCGCTGCACATCCCGCAGGGCGGGGGGGGACGCACCGAATCCGCTCCCGGTACCCGCGGTCACTCAGGAGAAAAGAACGGCCGGAGTTTTTATTTCTGCCGTCGTTTAACCCCTGTGTGACGGTGTGAGGCCGCGGTCACTGGTTTTGGGGCCCTGCCCGTGCGCCGTGTGGTACAATCCATGTTGTTCCCCCCCCCGCTTTCCACACCCAGATGGACTCGTCCTCCTCCCATTGAGGGCGTTCCCGCCATCGCCCATTGGCTTCATCAATCTCCGTCAGCCTCGTTAGGAGACTTTCGGAATCGTTCCGAGCGCGCCTTCGTCAGTCTTCGGAAGTCTTCGGAACGCGTCGGAGAACTTCGGGAACGCTCGGAGAGTTTTGGAGAACTTCGCGGAAATCCCGTGATGTCCCCGTCCCAAAGAAACGAAGCGGCCAAACCGGTGCAAAAATCCCGTCAATAATTAGAAAAATCGGGGGTTTTGGAGTTGTTTTCCCCTGGTTTTACAAAATCTACGTTGTTTTTTTCCAAGTCACGGGCAGATCCCTAACTCCCTTCCCGCTCCTCTCACCTCGCACCGATTTTCCTACAAATTCACGACATTTTGGGGGTTTGAGTTTGGTTTTTTTTGCCGACCGACATTTGGATGTGGCGAAACATCCCGTGACCAGTGGAAATCCCCTGTCCTGAGCTGAACTCCAGGTGGGAAGAGGATTTTGGGGGAACACTGAGTCCAGTATCAACGGGCACAGTGGATTTGCCTGGGGTTTTGGGTAGGGAAAGAGGAATCCGTGAGGAGAAAACACTCCAAATCTCCTTAAATTTTTTTTTCTAGTAAAATTTCCTCTAAAACTCTTAAGAAAATCCCCACGTACGAAGGCTTTCGGAAACATTCGGAAAACCTCGTGAGAATTCGGAGAACTTCGGAGGCGCTCGGAAACGCTCGGCATCAACCGGAAGAACCCGACGAGCTCTTCGTGCATTCCCGCCGCCTTTCGGCACCGTCCGAAGAGGCAGCGCTCGGCTGTTTCCGGCGGCGCTCGGCTGTTTCCGGCGGCCGCCGGGGCGCTGCCTCAGGGCGGGCGCCATTTTGTGTGTCCGCCCGCGGAGCGCGGGGCGCGGGCGGAGGAGCCGCCGGGCCGAGCCCCCCGCGCCGTTCAGTGACTGTGCCCCCCGTTCTCCACCCCCTGCCCGTTGCCCATGGCCGTGGAGAGCCCGAGTGTCCCCCCCCGCCGCCGCCGCTTCCCCCCCCAGCCCGCACTGCACTCCCCCTTCTCCGTCCTGCCACGGCAGCTGCAGCCTCCCCCGGCCGCCGCCGCCGCTCCAAGGCCACCATCACGGCCCGGACGAAAGGTCCAGTAACCGCCTCTCCCGAGCGCCTTCTCTGTGTGGCTGGGGGTCGGTCCGGCGCGCCGGACCAGGTTTGGGGAGGGGGCGGCGGGAGGGGAGGGGGGACGGGAGGGGGGGGCAGGCAGGGCCCAGGGGCTGAGGGGGGGCGGCCTGGGGGGGGAGGACGAGGAGGAGGAGGAGGGTGAGGAAGGGCCAGAGGGGATCGGGGGAGGCCCGGGAGGCTCTGAGGAGGGTGAGGAAGGGCCTGAGGGGGATGGGGGGGGTGAGGAAGGAGCTGAGGGGGATTTGGGGGGGGGGCGTGAGGAGGAGGAAAGGCCTGAGGGGGGATTTGAGGAGGGTGAGGAAGGAGCTGAGGGGGGGTTTGAGGAAGGGCCTGAGGGGGATTTGAGGAGGGTGAGGAAGGAGCTGAGGGGGGTTTGAAGAGGAAGGGCCTGAGGGGGATTTGAGGAGGGTGAGGAAGGAGCTGAGGGGGGTTTGAGGAAGGGCCTGAGGGGGATTTGAGGAGGGTGAGGAAGGAGCTGAGGGGGGTTTGAAGAGGAAGGGGCCTGAGGGGGATTTGAGGAAGAGGAGGGTGAGGAAGGAGCTGAGGGGGGTTTGAAGAGGAAGGGCCTGAGGGGGATTTGAGGAGGGTGAGGAAGGAGCTGAGGGGGATTTGGGGGTGGTCCTGAGGATGAGGAAGGAGCTGAGGGGGATTTGAGGAGGAAGAGGAAGGAGCTGGGTGGAATTTGGGGAGGGTGTGAGGAGGAGGAGGGTGAGGAAGGAGCTGAGGGGGATTTGGGGGTGGTCCCGAGGGTGAGGAAGGAGCTGAGGGGGGTTTGAAGAGGAAGAGGAAGGGCCTGAGGGGGATTTGAGGAAGAGGAGGGTGAGGAAGGGCCTGAGGAGGATTTTGGGGCCTTCCTGAGGAGGAAGAAGAGGGGATGAAGGCAGTGCAGGCCTCAGGTGGGGTGGGAGGGGATTTGGGGACATTTTGGGTGATTTTTTGCAGGGATGATCCCTGGGGAAGGGATTTAGGGCATTTTTGGGGGGTGCTTGGGGGTTGAACCCAAATTTGGGGGCTCTGAATCCTCCCTAAGGGGGTCCCACCCTTTTTTAGGGGATTTTTTGGGAAAGGGTTGAATTTCCCTTTAGGAAATACTAAAACTCTTTTATTGGGGGTGATCTCAAGCTTTGGGGGATTTTAGATCATTTTTGGGGGGGTTTAACCCATTTTTGGGGATTAAAATCCTAATTTGGGGGATTTTAGGGGTTCAGCTCCTCTTGGGCAATTTCTCTTTTCAGAGGGGGGCTCTAGTTGGGTTTTTGGGGTTTTTGGGAGTATTTAACCCTTTTTTAAGGAATATTTAGGTATTGGGGGGATTTAACCCCTATTTTGGGGGATTTTAACTCTTTTTGGGGGGGTTTAGCCCCATTTTTTTGGGGGTGATCCTTAATAAGTTCTTTATTCCCTCATAAAAATTCCATTTATTCCCTTAAAATCCCCCAGATTTGGATCAGGAGGTTTGGGGGTCCCTGCAGGGATTTAAAAAGTTCCAAAATCTCCAAATCTGCCCCCAAAAATTCCCTTTCTCCTCTCTTGGGGACCCCTCCCCACAATCACTCCCAGCCATTTCTGGGATTTCCTCTTTTTTGGGTACTTTAATCCAAATAATGTGAGAAAAAGAGGAAAAAAGGTGAAATCAGGGAGGGTTTGGGGGAATTTGTAGGAAAATGGTGAGGAAAATGGTGAATTTGGGGGAGTTTTGGGGGAATAAAAGGGAATTTGGGGATTTTTAGGGGGAAAAAAAGAATTTTTAGGGGAAAAAAGGAAAATCTGGGGATTTTGAGGGTGTTTGTAGGGAAAAAAGGGAATTTGGGGGGTTTAGGGGTATTTTTAGGGGAAAAAAGTGAATTTTTAGGGTTTTTTAGGGAAAAAGTGAATTTTTAGGGGGAAAGGTAAATCCAGGGAGTTTGGGGGTATTTTAAAAGAAAAAAGGGTGAAATAAGGGAATTTTGGGGTATTTTTTTAGGGGAATAAAGGTAAATCCAGGCAGTTTGGGGTTTATTTAGGAAAAACGGTGAAATAAGGGAATTTTTTGGGTATTTTGAGGGGAAAAAAGTGAATTTTTAGGGGGAAAATGGTGAATTTAGGCAGTTTGGGGTATTTTAGGGATAAAATAGCAAAATAAGGGAGATTTGGGGATATTTCTTTAAGAAAATGAGGAAACCCAGGGATTTTGGGGGGTTTTGCTGGGAAAAAAAAGGCAAATGCAGGGAATTTGGGGGCTGGGCTTCATTTCCATGTGGGCAATGGGTGGGGAAACGGGTGGAAAATGTGGAATTTTGCATTTTTTGGTGCCTTTTGCCCCCTTCCCTTGTGCCCCCACGTGTAAAATCCCCCAGTGTGTCCCAAACCAAGCAGAACCCTCCCCAAAAAACGTCACAAAAGCACACAAGTCCCCAAAATCCCCCAAAAAACCCCAAAACCCCAAAATCCCAAACCAGGGGCGTTTCCAGGTGCGACAGCCCCAAATCCACAGCAGAAAAGTGGAAAAGTTGGTGGAAATGGCTGAAAATGTGTGAAAGTCATCAACAAAAGGTGGTAAAAAGCACCTCACACTGCCCCTGCCCTCCAGGTGTGCCCAGGGGTGCCCAGGTGTCCCCAGGTGTGTCCAGGTGTGCCCAAATGTGCCCCAGGTGTCCCCAGCTTTGCCCAGGTGTGACCCCAAGTGTGTCCCAGGGCTGCCCAGGTGTGCTCCAGGTGTGCCCTGGTGTCCTCAGGGGTGTCCCAAGTGTGTCCCAGGGTTGCCCAGGTGTGCCCCTGGTGTCCCCAGGTGTCCCCAGCTGTTCCCAGGTGTGCCCAGTGTGCCCCATTGTACCCCAGGTGTGCCCTGGTGTCCCCAGGTGTGGTCCCAGGTGTGCCCCATTGTACCCCAGGTGTGCCCAGTGTGCCCCATTGTACCCCAGGTGTGCCCAGGTGTCCCCAAGTGTGCCCAGGTGTGACCCAAGTGTGTCCCAGGGCTGCCCAAATGTGCCCAGGTGTGCCCTGGTGTGTCCCAGCTGTGCTCAGGTGTGTCCAGATATGTCCCCAGGTGTGCCCCAGATGTGCCCAGGTGTGCCCCAAGTGTGTCCCAGGTGTCCCCAGCTGTACCCCAGGTGTGTCCCAGGTGTCCCCAGCTCTGCCCAGGTGTCCCCAGCAGTCCCCAGGTGTGCCCAAATGTGCCCCACGTGTGCCCAGGTGTCCCCAGGGGTGTCCAGATCCGTTCCAGCCGTGCCCAGGTGTCCCCAGATGTATCCCAAGTGTCCCCAGGGGTGTCCAGGTGTGCCCCAGCTGTGCCCAAATGTGCCCCAGGTGTGCCCAGGTGTGTCCAGGTGTCCCCAGCAGTCCCCAGGTGTGCCCAAATGTGCCCCAGGTGTGCCCAGGGGTGTCCAGGTGTGTCCCAGGTGTCCCCAGGTGTGCCCAAATGTGCCCCAGGTGTCCCCAGGTGTCCCCAGGTGTGTCCAAGTGTCCCCAGCTGTGTCCAGGTGTGCCCCAGCTGTGTCCAAATGTGCCCCAGCTGTTCCCAGCTGTGCCCAGGTGTCCCCCGGTGTGTCCCAGGTATCCCCAGGTGTGTCCCAAGTGTCCCCAGGGGTGTCCAGGTGTGTCCCAGCTGTCCCCATGTGTGCCTTAGGTGTTCCCAGGTGTTCCCTGCTGTCCCCAGCTCTGTCCCAGCGGTGCCCAGGGGTGTCCAGGTGTGTCCAGATGTGTCCCAGAGTGCCCCAGGTGTGTTGTAGGCAATCCCAGGTGTCCCCAGGTGTATCCAGAGGTACCCCAGGTGTCCCCAGGTATATCCCAGGTGTGCCCAGGTGTCCCCAGCTGTGCCCACACCAGTGTCCAGGTGTGCCCCCCAAAACCCCAGAAAATTCCCATTATTTACCCCCAAACCCCAGCAAATTCCTGTGATTTTTCCCCCCAAGAAACCCCATAAAAATCCTATTTTCCCCACAAAAAAAAAAACCATAAAAATCCCATTTTTTCCCAAAACCGCCCATTTTTTCCCCCCAAACCCCATAAAATCCCCATTATTTTTCCCTCATGGGAGCAGGGCGAGCTGGAGGATGATGGGGGCAGCAATGGCCCCAAAAGTCCTGACCCCAACCCCAGTTCTTGCACAAGCACAAACAGGAGCACAAACCCCACAAAATCCCCGTCATTTACCCCCCCCAAAAACCCCACAAAATCCCCATTATTTACCCCCAAAAAACCCCATAAAATCCCCATTATTTACCCCCAAAAAAACCCCATAAAATCCCCATAAAATTTAGGTTTTTACCCCTAAAAACCCCATAAAATTCCTGGGTTTATTTCCAGAGAGGACAAGGAGCTGCAGGAGGATCCACAATTCCCATTTTCCCCAGCAGATCCCTGCCATTTTCCCCCCAAAAAACCCCATAAAAATCCCATTTTTTCACCAGAAAAAGCCAAAAAATCCTATTTTTTCCCCAAAATCCCATTTTTCCCCTAAGATCCCCATTATTTTCTCCTCTCGGGCAGGATGGAGGACGATGGGGGCAACAATGACTCCAAGAATTCCTGACCCCAATCCTGATCCCAACCCCAGTTCTTGCACAAGCGCAAACGGGAGCACAAACCCCACAAAATCCCCGTTATTTACCCCCAAAAACCCCACAAAATTCCCATTTTCCCCTCTCAGGGACAATGAGGAGCTGCAGGAGGATCCACAATCCCCATTGTCCCCTCCAAACCCCAGCAAATCCCTGCCATTTTCCCCCTGAAAAACCCATAAAATCCAATTTTTTCACCAAAAAAAGCCCAAAAATCCATTTTTTCCCCAAAAAACCCCCGAAAAATCCCATTTTTTCCCCCAAAAATCCCTTTTTTCCCCAAAAACCCCCATTTTTCCCTTGCAGGGAGGATGGGGAGCTGGAGGAGGGCGAGCTGGAGGACGATGGTGGGGACGAGGCCCCGGCCCAGGCGCGGCCCAGCGGCGCCGCTGCGGCTCCAGCGAGGACAGGGACAGGGACAGGGGACAGGGACAGGGACAGGGACAGGGACAGGGACAAACCCCACCGGAGCTGAAGCGCAAACGCCGCAAGGACAAGGACAAGAGGAGGTCCAAGAAAAAGAGAAAATCCAAGCACAAGGTGGGGATTGGGGAATTCCACAAAATTGGGGATTTGGGGACACTCAGGGATCCCATTGTCCCCCCCCATTGTTCCCCATTGTCCCCCATTGTTTTCCCCATTGTTTTCCCCATTGTCCCCCATTGTTTTCCATTGTTCCCCCATTGTTCCCCATTGTTCCCCCATTGTCCCCCATTGTCCCCATTGTTCCCCATTGTCCCCCATTGTCCCCATTGTTTCCCCCCATTGTTCCCCATTGTTCCCCATTGTCCCCCCATTGTTCCCCCATTGTCCCCATTGTTTCCCATTGTTCCCCCATTGTTCCCATTGTTCCCATTGTTCCCCATTGTCCCCATTGTTCCCCCATTGTTCCCCCATTGTCCCCATTGTTTCCCATTGTTCCCCATTGTTTCCCATTGTTCCCCCATTGTTCCCCATTGTTCCCCCATTGTCCCCCATTGTTCCCCCATTGTCCCCCATTGTTTCCCATTGTTCCCCCATTGTTCCCCATTGTTCCCATTGTTCCCATTGTTCCCCCATTGTTCCCCCATTGTTCCCCATTGTTCCCCATTGTCCCCCATTGTTCCCCATTGTTTCCCCCATTGTTCCCCATTGTTCCCCCATTGTTCCCATTGTTCCCCCATTGATCCCCCATTGTTCCCCATTGTTCCCATTGTTCCCCATTGTTCCCCCATTGTTCCCCCCATTGTTCCCCATTGTCCCCCATTGTTTCCCATTGTTCCCATTGTTCCCCATTGTTCCCCATTGTCCCCCATTGTCCCCCATTGTTCCCCATTGTTCCCCCATTGTTCCCCCATTGTTCCCCATTGTTCCCCATTGTCCCCATTGTTCCCCCATTGTTCCCCATTGTCCCCCATTGTTTTCCATTGTTCCCCCATTGTTCCCCCATTGTTTCCCCCATTGTTCCCCATTGTTTCCCCCATTGTTCCCCATTGTCCCCCATTGTTCCCCATTGTTTCCCCCATTGTTTCCCCCATTGTTCCCATTGTTCCCATTGTTCCCCATTGTCCCCATTGTTCCCCATTGTTCCCCATTGTCCCCCATTGTTCCCCATTGTTTCCCATTGTTCCCCATTGTTCCCCCATTGTCCCCCATTGTCCCCCACTGTTCCCCATTGTTCCCATTGTCCCCCATTGTTTTCCCCATTGTTTTCCCCATTGTTCCCCATTGTTCCCCCATTGTTTCCCCCATTGTTCCCCATTGTTCCCCATTGTTCCCCATTGTTCCCCATTGTCCCCCATTGTTCCCCATTGTTCCCCATTGTCCCCAGTTCCCCATTGTTTCCCCATTGTTCCCCATTGTTCCCCATTGTTCCCCATTGTTTTCCCATTGTTCCCCATTGTCCCCATTGTTCCCCATTGTTCCCCATTGTCCCCCCATTGTTCCCCATTGTTCCCCATTGTCCCCCATTGTCCCCCATTGTTTCCCCATTATTCCCCATTGTTCCCCATTGTTCCCCCATTATTTCCCCTTGTTTCCCCATTGGGGAAGGGAATTCCAGGGGTTGGGTTGAGAATTCCAGGGATTGGGGAGGGAATTCCAGGCTTTGGGAAGGGCTCAGGGCTGATTTTCTGTGATTTTCGGGATTTTCCGGGCTTTTCCAGCGCCACGCCTCATCCAGCGAGGATTTGTCGGATTTGAGCGACGACTCCGACTACAGCCCTGGGGAGAAGGGACACAGGAAATACCGGGAATACAGCCCAGTGTATCCTGTGAGTTATACTGGGAATACTGGGAATGGGAAATACCGGGAATACAGCCCAGTTTATCCTGTGAGTTATACTGGGAATACTGGGAATACTGGGAATGGGAAATACCGGGAATACAGCCCAGTGTATCCTGTGAGTTATACTGGGAATACTGGGAAATACCGGGAATACAGCCCAGTGTATCCTGTGAGTTATACTGGGAATACGGGGAATGGAAACTGGGAAATACCGGGAATACAGCCCAGTGTATCCTGTGAGTTATACTGGGAATACGGGGAATGGGAAATACCGGGAATACAGCCCAGTTTATCCTGTGAGTTATACTGGGAAATACCGGGAATGGGAACTGGGAAATACTGGGAATACAGCCCAGTGTACCCCATGAGCTATACTGGGAATACTGGGAATACTGGGAATGGGAAATACCGGGAATACAGCCCAGTGTACCCCGTGAGTTATACTGGGAATACTGGGAATGGAAACTGGGAAATGCTGGGAATGGAAACTGGGAATGGTCACTGGGAATTTTGGGGAATTTTTGGGGATTTTTTGGGAATTCTGGATCCCAACGTGTCCCATGCCATTCCCAGTCCCACCAGTGCTCCCAGTTGCCCCGGAATGAGTGGGAATTTGGGGGAATTTTTGGAGAATTTTTGGGGAATTTTTTGGGGAATTTTTGGGGATATTTTGGCATTTTGGGGGGGATTTTTATGGGAATTTTTTTTTTTTTTTTTGGGAATTTTTGGGAATTTTTTGGGAATTCCGGATGCCAGACTCTCCCATGCCATTCCCAGTCCCACCAGTACTCCCAGTTGCCCCAGAATGAGCAGGAATTTGGGGGAATTTTTGGGGAATTTTTGGGGGAATTTTTGGGGATATTTTGGCATTCTTTGGGGATTTTTTGGGGGGAATTTTTTGGGTTTTTTTGGGAATTCTGGATGCCAGCCTCTCCCATGCCATTCCCAGTCCCACCAGTACTCCCAGTTGCCCCGGAATGAGTGGGAATTTGGGGGAATTTTTGGGGGAATTTTTGGGGATTTTTTTGGGGATATTTTGGCATTCTTTGGGGGAATTTTTGGGGATATTTTTTTGGGAATTTTTTGGGGATTTTTTGGGAATTTTGGATCCCAGCCTCTCCCATGCCATTCCCAGTCCCACCAGTACTCCCAGTTGCCCCGGAATGAGTGGGAATTTGGGGGAATTTTTGGGGGAATTTTTGGGGATTTTTTTGGGGATTTTTTTTGGGAATTTTTTGGGATTTTTTGGGAATTCTGGATGCCAGCCTCTCCCATGCCATTCCCAGTCCCACCAGTACTCCCAGCTGCCCCGGAAGGGCCACGCCAAGGGGGACCCCAAGGGCTCCTATGGGGGCTCCTATGAGGATTTCGAGCCTGAGGATTTCGGGCCCTTTGAGGCCGAGGAGGAGGAGGAGGCGCCCAAGGACGACTTTGACGATTTCTCCAAGGAGCTGAACCAATACCGGCGCTGCAAGGACGGGGGGCACCGCGCCAGAGGTAGGGGGAGATGGGGAAAAATGGGGAAAATTTAAATTTAAATTAAAAACCATGAAAAACCGTGAAAAAACGGCAAAAAAAAACCCACAAAAAACCATGGAAAAACAGCAAAGAACTATGAAAAAACAGCAAAAAACCCATGAAAAAAACACCAAAAAACCCATTAAAAACCACAAAAAAAAACCCACAAAAACCCATGAAAAAAACACCAAAAAACCCCACAAAAACCCATGAAAAAACCACCAAAAACCATGAAAAAACACAAAAAAAAAACCCCACAAAAACACATGAAAAAACCACCAGAAAAAACCCACAAAAAACCATGAAACAAACACCAAAAAACACCAAAAAACCATGAAAAAAACCACCAAAAAAACCCCACCAAAAAACATGAAAAAACCATTCCCGTGGTTTTTCCCCATTTTTCCCCGTTTTTCCCGCAGGTCGCGGTGCCCGGGGCTGCCGCGGGTTCTGTGTTTCCCGGTTTTTCCCGTTTTTTCCCATTTTCCCGTGTTTTTTCCCCATTTTCCCGCAGGTTGCGGTGCCCGGGGCTGCCGCGGGTTCTGTATTTCCCATTTTTCCCCGTTTTTTCCCATTTTCCCGTGGTTTTCCCCATTTTCCCGTTGTTTCCCGCAGGTCGCGGTGCCCGGGGCTGCCGCGGGTTCTGTGTTTCCCATTTTTCCCGGTTTTTCCCATTTTCCCGTGTTTTTTCCCCATTTTCCCGCAGGTCGCGGTGCCCGGGGCTGCCGCGGGTTCTGTGTTTCCCATTTTTCCCGTTTTTTCCCATTTTCCCGTGGTTTTTCCCCATTTTCCCCGTTGTTTCCCGCAGGTCGCGGGGCCCGGGGCTGCCGCGGGTTCTGTGTTTCCCGGTTTTTCCCGGTTTTTCCCATTTTCCCGTGTTTTTTCCCCATTTTCCCGCAGGTCGCGGTGCCCGGGGCTGCCGCGGGTTCTGTATTTCCCATTTTTCCCGGTTTTTCCCATTTTCCCGTGTTTTTTCCCCATTTTCCCGCAGGTCGCGGTGCCCGGGGCTGCCGCGGGTTCCGGGGCCGCGCGCGGGGCCCGGGGCGGGGCCCGGGGCGGGGCCGGGGGCGGGGCCGCGCCCGCAGCGACCCCGAGGATGAGGAGGAGGCGTTCGAGGAGGAGCTGGAGGTGAGCGGGGATGTCCCGGGAATGCGGGGATTCTCCGGGAATGCGGGGATTTCCCGGGAATTCCGAGCCTGTCCTGGGGGAATTTGGGGAATTTGGGGAATTCTGAGCCTGTCCTAGAGTTCTGGGAATTCCCCAGGAATTCTGAGCCTGTCCTGAGGGAATTCTGACCCAATCCCGAGGTTTGGGAATTCTGAGCCCGTCCTGGGGGAATTTGGGGAATTCTGAGCCTGTCCTGGGGTTCTGAGCCTGTCCTGGGGTTTGGGAATCCCAGGAATTTCCCAGGGAATTCTGAGCCTGCCCTGGGATATTCCCAAGGGAATTCTGAGCCTGTCCTGGGGGAATTTGGGGAATTCTGGGAATTCTGAGCCTGTCCTGGGGTTTGGGAATCCAAGGAATTCTGACCCAGTCCTGGCTTTCCTATCCTGACATTCCCAGCCACATCCCAGGATTCTCACCCCACCTTGGGGTTCCTGAGGGAATTCCAGCCCCATCCCAGGGTCCAGCCCAACTGAATTCCCACGGAATTCCCATTTTTCCCCATCCAATTTCCCGTGGAATTCCCGGTTTTTTCCCAGTACTGTGACCCCGAGGAGCCGCTGGGCGATGACGACTTTGACGACTTTGCCAAGGAGCTCTCGCAGTACAGGCGCAGCAAGGACCGGGGCGGCCGCGGTGAGGGGGCTCCCACCCAAACCCCAAAATCCCAAAATCCAAAAATCAAAAAAATCCCCAAATCCCAAACCCCAAAATCCCCAAACCCCCAAACCCCAAAATCCCCAAAATTCCCAAAATCCCCAAACCCCAAAATCTCCAACATCCAAAAAATCCCCAAATCCCAAACCCCCAAAATCCCCAAATCCCAAAATCCCCAAACCCTAAAATCCCCAAATCCCCAAACCCCAAAATCCCCAAATGCCAAATCCCCAAAACCCAAAATCCCCAAATCCCCAAAATCCCCAAACCCCCAACCCCCAAAATCCCCAAATCCCCAAATCCCCAAATCCCCAAAATCCCCAAATCCCCAAACCCCAAAGTCCCCAAATCCCCAACCCCCAAAATCCCCAAATCCCCAAAATCCCCAAACCCCAAATCCCCAAACCCCAAAATCCCCAAATCCCCAACCCCCAAAATCCCCAAATCCCCAAACCCCAAAGTCCCCAAATCCCCAACCCCCAAAATCCCCAAATCCCCAAAATCCCCAAACCCCAAATCCCCAAACCCCAAAATCCCCAAATCCCCAACCCCCAAAATCCCCAAATCCCCAAACCCCAAAGTCCCCAAATCCCCAACCCCCAAAATCCCCAAATCCCCAAAATCCCAAAATCCCCAAACCCCAAAATCCCAAAGTCCCAAAATCCCCAAACCCCAGCCTAACTCTGACCCAAATCCAGCCCAAATCCCAATCCCCAAATTCCCAATCCCCAATCCCCAATCCCCAATCCCCAATCCCCAAATCCCCAATCCCCAATCCCCAAATCCCAATCCCAATTCCCAATCCCCGTTCCCATTCCAGGCCGAGGTCCCCGAGGTCCCCGAGGTCCCCGGGGGGGCCGGGGTCCCAAGGGGCCGGGCCGGGGCTGGGTCTGGGAATCCCCAAATCCCAAATTCCCAATTCCCAATCCCAATCCCCAATCCCCAATCCCCAATCCCCAATCCCCAATCCCAATCCCCAAATTCCCAAATCCCCAATCCCAATCCCCATTCCCATTCCAGGCCGAGGTCCCCGAGGTCCCCGAGGTCCCCGGGGGGGCCGGGGTCCCAAGGGGCCGGGCCGGGGCCGGGGCCGGGGCCGCAGCGCGATGGGAAAGGGCGGCCACGAGGACGACGACTTCTACGACGAGGACATGGGGGTGAGCGCCCCAAAAACCCCCCCAAAGTCACCCCAAAATCCCCCTGGAATCCCCAGAGTCCCCCTGCAATCCCCAAAACGTCCCAAAAATCCCCCTGGAATTCCTAAAACTTCCCAAAAACCTTTGAGGACATGGGGGTGAGTGCCCCAAAAACCCCCAGAGTCACCCCAAAGTCACCCCAAAATCCCCCTGGAATCCCCAAAATCCTCCTGGAATCCCCCAAATCCCCCTGGAATTCCCCAAAAATCCTGCCCAGAAACCCCAAAAACCTTTGAGGACATGGGGGTGAGTACCTCAAATTCCCAAATTTCCCCCTCAAATTCCCAGGATTTTTGCCTCAGCACCCCCTAAACCCCCTCCCATTTTCAAAAACCCATTTTGGAGTTGTTCCTGGTTTTTTTTCCCACTTTCCCCCATTTCTTTTCCCATTTCTTCCCCCAAAATTCCCATTTTTTCCCATTTTTTCCCATTTTTTCCCGTTTTTCCCCATTTTTTTCCCCATTTTTTCCCGTTTTTCCCCATTTTTTCCCATTTTTCCCATTTTGCCCCAGGACGGGGGCGGGTACCGGCGGGAGGACAAGGCTCACCTGCCCTCGGACAAGAAGGGGAAGGTGATCTGCAAGTACTTCGTGGAGGGCAGGTGCACCTGGGTAAGGACACCTGGGGGGGCACCTGGGGGTCCCCAATTGTACCTGGGTGAGGGCACCTGGGTAAGGACACCTGGGAAAGGGCACCTGGGTAAGGACACCTGGGGGTCCCCAGTCCCACCTGGGTGAGGGCACCTGGAGGGGGCACCTGGGAAAGGGCACCTGAGAGAGGGCACCTGGAGGGTCCCCAATTGTACTTGGGTGAGGGCACCTGGGTCACACCTGGGTCACACATTTCCATCTGTGTCCCACCTTTATCTCACCTGTGTCACACCTGTCCCCCCTGCAGGGTGACCACTGTAACTTCAGCCATGACATTGAGCTGCCCAAGAAGCGCGAGCTCTGCAAGTTCTACATCACGGGGTACTGCGCGCGGGCCGAGAGCTGCCCCTACATGCACGATATCCTGATTAAACCAGGCCTAAACCGGGCCTAAACCCTGCCTAAACCTGGGATAAACCTGGGACAAACCGGGGATAAACCGGGGATAAACCCTGCCATGAAACTGCCCCCAAGAGCTGCCCCTACGTGCACGATATCCTGACCAAACTGGGATAAACCGGGCCTAAACCGGGCCTAAACCCTGCCTAAACCTGGGATAAACCCTGCCTGAACCTGGGATAAACCGGGGATAAACCCGGCCTAAACCTGGGCTAAACCCTGCCTGAACCTGGGATAAACCCTGCCCTGAAACTGCCCCCGAGAGCTGCCCCTACATGCACGATATCCTGATTAAACCTGGTTTAAACCCGGGCTAGACCCGGCCTAAACCTGCCCAGCCGCAGGCCTGGCCTGTCCCTAAGCCGGGCCTGGGCCGGGTTTTGCCTTCTGGAAGTTTCCTTGACGTTCCCACGGGATTTCCCGTGCAAGCTGTTCCACACCACGGGGCTCTGCATCAACGGCGACGACTGCATGTTCTCACACGCGCCGCTGTGCGACGAGACCCGGCAGCTCCTGGACAAGGTAACGCACCTGGGGTACAGAGAGATACACCTGGGGACACCTGGGGACACACCTGGGCACAGATAGGGACACCTGGGGACACCTGGGGACACCTGGGTACACACAGACCCTGCCCTGGGCACTGCATGTTCTCACACGCACCGCTGTGCGACGAGACCCGGCAGCTCCTGGACAAGGTAATTGGGGACACCTGGGGACACCTGGGGACACCTGGGTACACACCTGGGCACAGATAGATACACCTGGGCACAGCTGGGGACACACAGACACACCTGGGCACTGCATGTTCTCACATGCACCGCTGTGCGACGAGACCCGGCAGCTCCTGGACAAGGTAACGCACCTGGGGACACACCTGGGGACAGCTGGGGACAGCTGGGGACACACCTGGGCACACACAGACACACCTGGGCACTGCATGTTCTCACATGCACCGCTGTGCGACGAGACCCGGCAGCTCCTGGACAAGGTAACTGGGGACACAGCTGGGGACACACCTGGGCACACACAGACACGCCTGGGGACACCTGGGGACACCTGGGTACAGATAGATACAGCTGGGCACTGCATGTTCTCACACGCGCCGCTGTGCGACGAGACCCGGCAGCTCCTGGACAAGGTAACGCACCTGGGGACACACCTGGGGACAGCTGGGGACAGCTGGGGTGCAGATAGATACACCTGGGGACAGCTGGGGACAGCTGGGGACACACAGACACACCTGGGGACACCTGGGCACACACAGACACACCTGGGCACTGCATGTTCTCACACGCACCGCTGTGCGACGAGACCCGGCAGCTCCTGGACAAGGTAACACACCTGGGGACACACCTGGGGACAGCTGGGGACACCTGGGGTACAGATAGATACACCTGGGGACACCTGGGGACACCTGGGGACACACAGACCCTGCCCTGGGTACAGCTGGGCACTGCATGTTCTCCCATGCACCGCTGTGCGACGAGACCCGGCAGCTCCTGGACAAGGTAACGCACCTGGGGACACACCTGGGGACACACCTGGGGTACAGATAGATACACCTGGGCACAGCTGGGCACAGCTGGGATACGCCTGGGCACAGCTGGCACACCCAGGCACAGCTGGGGGCACCTGGGGGCACCTGGGCACAGCTGGACATGCCCAATCCATCCCAGTTTAACCCAGTTTAAGGTGCAGATGCTGGCCGATGCAGAGGCGGGCGCAGTCCCTGACCCCAGTCTAACCCAGTTTAACCCATTTTTAACCCATTTAACCCTTCCCTCCCCAGATGCTGGCCGAGGACGCCGAGGCGGGCGCAGTCCCTGGTCCCAGTCCATCCCAGTTTAACCCAGTTTAACCCAGTTTAACCCATTTAACCCTTCCCTCCCCAGATGCTGGCCGAGGACGCCGAGGCGGGCGCAGTCCCTGGCCCCAGTCCATCCCAGTTTAACCCAGTTTCACCCAGTCTAACCCAGTTTAACCCATTTTTAACCCATTTAACCCTTCCCTCCCCAGATGCTGGCCGAGGACGCCGAGGCGGGCGCAGTCCCTGACTCCATTCCCATCCCAGTCCATCCCAGTCTATCCCAGTCTAACCCAGTTTAACCCTTCCCTCCCCAGATGCTGGCCGAGGACGCCGAGGCGGGCGCGCAGGACGAGAAGGAGCTGCAGGAGCTGCGCAAGCAGGGCATCGACCCCCTGCCCAAACCCCCCCGGGCGTGGGGCTGCTGCCCACCCCCCCCCGGCCCCCCTCCCCCCCCCGCGGGCTGCCCCTCCCCCCGCCCGGGCCCCCCCTGCCCCTCCCCCCGGGGCCCCCCCTGGAGCCCCCCCTGGAGCCCCCCCAGGACCCCTTCAAGAAGATCCCGTCCCTGTTCGAGATCGTGGTGAGGCCCACGGGGCAGCTGGCGGAGAAACTGGGAGTGAGGTGAGGGCACCTGGGGCACCTGGGGGACAGGGGAACACACCTGGGTACAGCTGGGGGACAGGGGAACACACCTGGGCACACCTGGGTACACCCACGGGGCAGCTGGCAGAGAAACTGGGAGTGAGGTGAGGGCACCTGGGGGCAGGGGGGCACCTGGGGACACCTGGGAACTGCTGGGGGCACCTGGGTACAGCTGGCTACAGCTGGGTACAGCTGGGCACTGCTGGGGGCACCTGGGCACTGCTGGGGAACAGGGCAGGGCACCCACGGGGCAGCTGGCGGAGAAACTGGAGTGAGGTGAGGGCACCTGGGGACACCTGGGGGACTGGGGAACAGGGGAACACACCTGGGCACACCTGGGCACTGCTGGGGGCACCTGGGCACCGATGGGGAACAGGGCAGGGCACCCACGGGGCAGCTGGCGGAGAAACTGGGAGTGAGGTGAGGGCACAGCTGGGTACACCTGGGGACACCTGGGGGACAGGGGAACACACCTGGGCACACCTGGGGGCTGGGGAACACACCTGGGCACACCCACGGGGCAGCTGGCGGAGAAACTGGGAGTGAGGTGAGGGCACCTGGGGGGCAGGGGGGCACCTGGGGGGCACCTGGGGGCACCTGGAGAACAGGGGAACACACCTGGGTACACCTGGGGGGCTGGGGAACAGACCTGGGCACACCTGGGTACACCCACGGGGCAGCTGGCGGAGAAACTGGCAGTGAGGTGAGGGCACCGGGGGCACCTGGGGGACACCTGGGCACTGCTGGGGAACAGGGGAACACACCTGGGCACAGCTGGGCACTGCTGGGGGGCAGGGGAGGGCACCTGGGCACAGCTGGCACTCAGACAAAACACACCTGGAGCCACCCTTGGATTTCCCCTCTTTTATTCCCATTTCCCCCCATTTTTTCCCATTTTCCCCCATTTTCACCCCATTCTTTTCCCCATTTTCCCCCCATTCTTTCCCTCCATTTTTCCCGTTTTCCTCCATTTTCACCCCATTCTTTCCCCCCATTTCCCCCCATTCCTTCCCCCCATTTTTCCCCATTTCCCCCCATTTTCCCCCATTTTCACCCCATTCTTTTCCCCCATTTTTTCCCATTTCCCCCCCCTTTTTCCCGTTTTCCCCCATTTTCACCCCATTCTTTCCCCCCATTTTCCCCCCCATTTTTTCCCGTTTTCCCCCATTTTCACCCCATTCTTTCCCTCCATTTTTTCCCGTTTTCCCCCATTTTCACCCCATTCTTTTCCCCTTTTCTCTGTTCCAGGCACCCGGGGCCGCCCCCCCCGCGCTTCCCGGGCCCCCCCGGGGCTCCGCCCCTCCCCCCCCGGAGCTGCCGCCCCCCCCCGAGCTGGGCCCGGGGGGGTTCGAGGAGCCGCCCCTCCCCCACCCGGGGCTGCCCCCCCCGGGCCCCCCCTTCTACCCGGGGGGGGGAGGGGCGGGGGCGGGGCCCGGGGGTTTCTACCCCCCCCAGGAGGGGCTGGAGATGGAACCGCCCCCGGGGGGGGAGGGGCCAGGTGAGCACGGGGGGGGGAGGGGAGGGGAAATTGGGGGGGGGAGGGGAAATTGGGGTGGGGGGAGGGGAAAATCCTGGGAAATTTGGGGTGGGGGTAAGGGGAAAAATGGGCTTGGGGGGCAGGTGAGCCCCGAATCCCCCAATTCCACCCCAAATTCCTGTTCCCACCCCGAATCTCCCCTTCCCACCCCAAATCTCCCAATTCCACCCTAAATTCCTCCTCCTCACCCCAAATCTCCCAATTCCACCCCAATTTCCCCTTTCCCCCCCAAACCCCCCCAGTAATTCCCATTTTCCCCCAAACCCCCCCCCCAGTAATTCCCATTTTCCCCTTTTTCCCCCCAACCCCCCCAGTAATTCCCCCTTTTCCCCCAAACCCCCCCCAGTAATTTCCATTTTCCCACCCCAAACCCCCCCAATAATTCCCAATTTCCCCCTTTCCCACCCCAAAACCCCAATAATTCCCATTTCCCCCCCAAACCCCCCCAGTAATTCCCATTTTCCCACCCCAAACCCCCCCAGTAATTCCCATTTTCCTTTTCCCACCCCAAACCCCCCCAATAATTCCCAATTTCCCCCTTTCCCACCCCAAACCCCCCAATAATTCCCATTTTCCCCAAACCCCCCAGTAATTCCCATTTTCCCCCAAACCCCCCCAATAATTCCCATTTTCCCTTTTCCCACAGACGATTACGGCTCCTACGAGGCCGGGGACGGTCCCGGGGGGGACGCTCTGTACCCGGAGGGGTCCCTGGAGGCCGAGGGCGCCCCCGGGCCGGGCGGGATTCCCGGCATTCCCGGCATTCCCGGCATTCCCGGCGCTCCCGGCGCCGTTCCCGAGTTCCTGCCCTCGGGGCGCAGCGGGCGCTGTTCCTGCGCATCCGCCACAAGCAGCGGCCCGAGGAGAGGGCGCGGAGGGGCTGCGAGGGCGGCGACCGAGAGCACGAGGAGGGTGAGGGATGAGCGGGATCGGCACCGAAATCCCCATCGGAAACGGCCACAAAAATCCCGATCGGAAACGGCCCCAGAAATCCCCGTCAGAAACGGCCCCAGAAATCCCCGTCAGAAACGGCCCCAAAAATCCCCGTCAGAAACGGCCACAAAAATCCCCGTCAGAAACGGCCACAAAAATCCCAATCGGAAACGGCCCCAAAAATCCCGATTGGAAACGGCCCCAAAAATCCCGATCAGAAACGGCCACAAAAATCCCGGTCAGAAACGGCCGGAATGAGCCCCAAAAATCCTGATCGGAAACGGCCCCAAAAATCCCCGTCAGAAACGGCCACAAAAATCCCGATCGGAAACGGCCCCAAAAATGCCCGTCAGAAACGGCCCCAAAAATCCCGATTGGAAACGGCCACAAAAATCCCGGTCAGAAACGGCCCCAAAAATCCCCATCGGAAACGGCCCCAAAAATCCCGATCGGAAACGGCCCCAAAAATCCCGGTCAGAAACGGCCCCAAAAATCCTGATCAGAAACGGCCCCAAAAATCCCGGTCAGAAACGGCTCCAAAAATCCTGATCGGAAACGGCCCCAAAAATCCTGATCGGAAACAGCCCCAAAAATCCCGATCGGAAACGGCCCCAAAAATCCTGATCAGAAACGGCCCCAAAAATCCCGGTCAGAAATGGCCCCAAAAATCCCAGTCAGAAACGGCCCCAAAAATCCCGGTCAGAAACGGCCCCAAAAATCCCGATCGGAAACGGCCCCAAAAATCCCCGTCAGAAACGGCCCCAAAAATCCCCATCGGAAACGGCCCCAAAAATCCCCGTCAGAAACGGCCCCAAAAATCCCGATCGGAAACGGCCCCAAAAATCCCGATTGGAAACGGCCCCAAAAATCCGGTCAGAAACGGCCCCAAAAATCCCCGTCAGAAACGGCCACAAAAATCCCGGTCAGAAATGGCCGGAATGAGCCCCAAAAATCCCAATTGGAAACGGCCCCAAAAATCCCGATCAGAAATGGCCCCAAAAATCCCCGTCAGAAACGGCCCCAAAAATCCCGACTGGAAACGGCCCCAAAAATCACCGTCAGAAACGGCCGGAATGAGCCCCAAAAAACCTGATCCAAAACAGCCGGAATGAGCCCCAAAAATCCCCAGAATGAGCCCCAAAAATCCTGATCAGAAACAGCCGGAATGAGCCCCAAAAATCCTGATCGGAAACGGCCGGAATGAGCCCCAAAAATCCCGATCCTGAGCCCTAAATTCCCCAGAATGAACCCCAAAAAAATGCTGATCCTGAGCCCAAAAAAATCCTGATCCTGAGCTCTAAAACCAGCCAGAAACGAGCCCCAAAACTCCTGATCCCGAGCCCAAAACCAGCCAGACTGAGCCCCGACAATTAATTCATTAATAATTAATCATTAATTTAATTTCCCTCCCTCTCGGCCCAGGTGACCCGGGCAGTTGGTACTCCAGCGACGAGGACGACGGCGCCAGCAGCGTCACCTCCATCCTCAAATCCCTGCGGCAGCAAAGCTGCGCCCGGGGCACCCCCGGGAACGGCCCCGGGAACGGCCCCGGGGACGCCCCCAGCGACCCCCGGCTGGCGCGGCCGCGGCTGCGGGACCCGCGCCTGGCGCGGAGCTCGGAGCTTCCCCCGCCGCCGCCTCCGGCTCCGGCTCCGGCTCCGAGCTCCACGGCCGAGGCCCCCTCGGACCCGCGGCTGGCCCGGCACGGCCCCAGGGCCGAGCCCGCCGCCAGAGCTGCCCCGGGCGGCGCTGAGGATGAGGACGGAGAGCGGATCCTGCGGGACAAACCCGCGCCCATCCCGCTGGAGGCGGCGCCGGGGCAGGCGCAGCGCGATCCGCGCTCGCAGCTCCAGCGATTCTCGCACATCCGCAAGGACGTGCGGCTGCTGCGGCCGCCCTGGGCGCGCTCCGTGCTCTGGAGCCCCGAGGATCTCATCCCGCTGCCCCTGCCCAAGCAGGACCTTCCTCCTCCTCCTCCTGCTGCTCCTCATCCTCCTCAGTGCCCCAGTTCTGACCCTCGGCTGCTCCGGCCGCCCTCGGACCCGCGGCAGGCGCGGGGGGCCCCGACCGAGCCGCCTTCATCATCATCATCATCATCATCCTCCTCATCCTCCTCATCCTCCCTGCCCGACTTCGAGCTGCTCTCGAGGATCCTCCAAAGCGTCACGGCCTCGGGAGGGGACAAACCCAGCGACCCCCGCGTGAGGAAGGCTCCTCCTCCTCATCCTCCTCCCTGCGACCCCCGGCTGCAGAAATCTCTGGAATGCGGCAATTCCCGCCAGGATCCCATCGCTCCCTACGACCCCCGGCTGAGCTGGGGCAGCTCCGGCCAGGGCAGCTCCTCGGTGCTCAGCGCCATCAGCCTCTACGACCCCCGGACTCCTCCTGCCGCCGCTGCTTCCAGCTCCGCCAAAGAGCCCCAAAACGAGGCCAATTCCACCCAAAAAGCGCCGGCGGTGGCGGGAGGAGGAGGAGGAGGAGGAGGGCCCAGGGCCAAGGAGGCGCCGCCGTTCGTTCGGCGCTCGGCGCTGGAGCCGCCCCCGGAGGAGCGGCCGGAGCCCGGCAGCACGGACAGGTACAACAGCTACAACCGGCCCCGCGCCAAAGCCCCCTCGGCCGGCGAGGGCGGCGCCGCCCCGGCCGCTCTGCACAACCTCCCCGTGCCCCCCGCGCCCCCCGGGCCCCCCGCGCTCGGCCTGGCCAAGGCCGGAGCCCGGCCCGGCCCCGGGAGCCCCTTCCCGGGGGGCAGCCCCGGGCCCGAGGGCCCCGAGGACGGCGGGGACAGGGGCAGCTCCCTCAAGGACGTGTTCAAGGGCTTCGACCCCACGGCCTCGCCCTTCTGCCAGTGAGGGGGGGAAAAAATGGGGGGGAAAATGGGGCTGGAAATGGGGATGGAAATGGGGGAAAATGGGGGGAAAATGGGGATGAAATTGGGGGAAAATGGGGATGGAAATGGGGATGGAAATGGGGAAAATGGGGCTGGAAATGGGGATGGAAATGGGGCTGGAAATGGGGCTGGAAATGGGGATGGAAATGGGGAAAATGCAGCTGGAAATGGGGAAAATGGGGCTGGAAATGGGCTGGGGGGGCTGGGAGTGGCTGGAAATGGGGTGGGTCTGCTCAAAATCTGGTCAAGTCTGCCCAAAATCCAGCCAGGTCTGCTCAAATCTGCCCAAAATCTGGTCAGGTCTGCTCAAAATGCACCCAAAATCTGGTCGGGTCTGTTCAAATCTGCCCTAAATCCACCCAGGTCTGCTCAAAATGTGCTCAAAATCTGCCCAAATCTGCCCTAAATCCAGCCAGGTCTGCTCAAATCCACCCAAAATCTGGTCAGGTGTGCTCAAAATCTGCCCAAAATCTGGTCAGGTCTGTTCAAATCTGCCCAAAATCCAGCCAGGTCTGCTTAAATCTGCTCAAAATCTGGTCAGGTCTGTTCAAATGTGCTTGAAATCCACCCAGGTCTGTTCAAATGCACCCAAAATCCACCCAGGTCTGCTCAAATCTGCCCCAAATGTGGTCGAGTGTGGCCAAATCCAGCCCAAATCCACCCAGGTCTGCTTAAATCTGCCCAAAATCTGCCCAGGTCTGCTCAAAATCCACCCAAATGCACCCAAAATCCACCCAGATCCTCCCAAATCCACCCAAAATTCACCCAGATCCTCCCAAATCCACTCCAAATCCACCCAGGTCTGCTCAAAATCCACCCAAAATTCACCCAGATCCTCCCAAATCCACCCAAATGCACCCAAATCCACCCAAAATCCACCCAGATCCTCCCAAATCCACTCCAAATCCACCCAGATCCACCCAAAATCCACCCAAAATTCACCCAAATCCACTCAAAATCCACCCAGATCCTCCCAAAATCTGAGGCTGGAGGGGAAATCTGAGGCTCCCCACCAAGGGGAGGAGAGAATCGGCCCCAAAAAACGAAATTTGAGCCCCAAAAAAGAGAAATTGAACCCTGGAAATCAAACTGGGGGCAAATCGAGCCCGAAAAAGTCCAAAAAAATTCTCAAATCTGACCCTAAAAAAGCGAATTTGGTCAGAACCAACCCAAATCCTCGCCCATCATCCAAATCCATCCCAAAAAAACCAAATCTGACCAAAAATCCCCAAATTGGATCCCAAAAAAACCCAAAATCTGACCCCAAATCCACCCAATTCAGCCCCAAAAATTCCCTCCAAAAATTCAATCCGCCCCAAAAACCCCAATTCCACCCCAAAAATCCCAAAATCCCCAAAAACCCCAATTCCACCCCAAAAATCCCCAAAATCCCCCAAATTCCACCCCAAAAATCCCCAAATTCCCCCCAATTCCTTGGAATTCGCCCTGGGCTGGATTTTGGGGGAATTTTGTCCCTTTTTGGGTCCTTCCTCAGCCATAAATTTGTAAATAAATCCCAAATTCCCCCCAGATTCCCGAGGATTTTCCCCTGTGGTGATTTGGGCTTGAAATTCCCATTTTTCCCCCCAAAAAATTCCCAATTCTGGGGAAAAAACCCCCAAATTTTGAGGGTTTGAGCAGCAAAAAGCCCCAAAATTTGGGGGTTTTGCCCCAAAATTCCCCTTGGTTCTGTTTTTCCAATGGATTCAATCAGAGATTTTGGGGTTTGAGGCTCTTGCTCCAATTCTTCTGTGGGAAATGGGGAAAAAATTCATCAAAATGGTGAAAAATGGGGGAAAAGAGGAAAAAAAAAGGCACAAAATGGTAAAAAATGGGAGAAAAAAAAGGAAAAAATGGCACAAAAATGGTAAAAAACGGGGGAAAAACAGGAAAAATGGGACAGAAATGGTAAATCAATCAAATAACCCAAAAATCCCCAAAATCATGGGAAAAAAATGAAAATCCAGCTCCAAATGGGCAAAAATCGTGGAGAAAACATCAAAAATTCCATTTAAGAGCCATAAAAAACCAGGAAAAAAAGGAAAAATCTCCCAAAATTTCCATGAAAATAAAAATGGGGGAAAAACCCAATTAAAATAAAGTGAAATAAAAACGAGAATGAATCAAAAATCAGGGAAATGAACAAAGGGAGTGGGAAAATCATGGAAAACGAATTAAAATGGGTCAAAAATTGTTTAAAATACAAAAAAAGGGGAAATAAAGAATTGGGTGTGGTGATAAAATCATAGAAAATGAATAAAATAGGAAAAATTGGGTATAAAGTCCATGAAAAGGTACAAAAATATTAAAATAAATGAAAATACAGGCAGGGAAATGGGGGGAAACGACAGAAATGGGAAAAATGGCTGAAAACCAAAGGAATTGAGGAAAATCCAGTAAAAAATTGTTAAAATTTGGTTAAAAAATGATAAATTTGATTAAAAATTGTGAAAAAAAATTAAAATTGTAAAGGAAATAATAAAAAAATTGGGAAATTTGTGGAAAATAAATGGGAAAAGAGCAGAAAATTGAAAAATTGGGAAAATTCAGGGAAAGAAAATTAAACCCAGCAGAAAATAATGGAAAAAATCCCAAAATTGGTGAAAATTAACAAAAAAATTAAGAATAAATAAAATATACAAAAAATAATGAAAATAACACAGAGAAATCATGGGAAATGTCCAAAAAGAGCCCAAATCACCCCAAAAATTGAAATTTAAAGGAAAAAAAGTGGAAAATGTCTCCAAATTCACAAAAAGCAGCAAAATGCCACAAAATCCCTCAAAAAAATAAAAAGAAAAAATCAGAAAAATTCAATTTTGCCCAAAAATGGTTGAAAATCCTCCAGAATCTCCTTAAAAGTGGCAGAAAATGGAACCAAAATCCTGAATTTTCCCCATTTTCCCTCTGGGAATTTGGAGCCAGAGAAGTGGAAATTTTTCCTTAAAAAAATCCCAATTTGAGGCAATTTGGGGTTGGAATTTTGGGATCAAATTGGGGCTTTTGGGGGGAAAAAAATGAAATAAAAATTCCACTTTGGGAGCAGCTGGGAAGACCCAAAAAAAGTCCCAAAATTTGGGATTTTTCCACTTAAAATTTGGGACTTTTCCACCCAAAATTTGAGATTTTTCCACCCAAAATTGGGATTTTCCAGGCTCAAAATTGGGGATTTTTCCCACCCAAAAATTGGGATTTTTCAGTCCCGAAATTGGGATTTTTCTGCTCAAAAATGGGGATTTTCAGCCCAAAAATTGGGATTTTTTTTTCAGGTTTCTTCCATGATTTTCCGGGAATTTTTGGGGGCAAATTGGGGAATTTTTGTACAAGAATTTCTTGGGATTGGAAATTTTCCTTTTTTTCTTTTTCTTTTCCTTTTTCTTTGGTTTTTTAGGGAATTTTTGGGGCCCCTCGAGGGCGGGGGGGGCGGGGATGGGAGATGATGTAATAAATATGTAAATATATGCAAATGAACCTGGCTGGCTCCAAATGTGGGGAAATTTGGGGGGGTCCAGGGGGGATTTTGGGGGAAATTTGGGGAAATTTGGGATTTTTGGGGTTCCTGAAGGAATTTTGGGGGAGAATTTTTAGGGAATTTTGGATAAATTTGGATTTTTGGGGGGGGGGTTTGGGGCATCCTGGGGGGTTTTTATTCCATTTTTTGGGGATTCTTTCCCCATTTTTGGGGATTTTTTCCCCATTTTTGGGGATTTTTTTCCGATTTTTTGGGATTTTTTTCCCATTTTTGGGGAGATTTTTTTCCCATTTTTGGGGATTTTTTCCCATTTTTTGGTGGTTTTTCTCCCATTTTGGGGAAATTTTTTCCCATTTTTTGGGGATTTTTTCCCCATTTTTGGGGATTTTTTTTCCCATTTTTTGCTGGTTTTTTCCTATTTTTGGGAGATTTTTTCCCCATTTTTGGGGATTTTTTCCCATTTTTTGGTGGTTTTTCTCCCATTTTGGGGAAATTTTTCCCATTTTTGGGGCTTTTTTTCCCCATTTTTGGGGGGATTTTTTCCATTTTTGGGGGCTTTTTTCCCCCATTTTTGGGGGTTTTTTTTCCCATTTTTTGGGAATTTTTTTCCCATTTTTGGGGATTTTTCCCCCATTTTTGGGGAAATTTTTTTCCATTTTTTGGGAA